CTGAGCCAAGAATCCCGTCCCCTAATAAAGGCTGGCAGCCGCCGCCTGGGACGTGTCACCCTATGATTGGCTGTAGCTCATCCGGCCATATGACGCCACGGAATAGGCAGAGATCAAGGAATGGAAAATTACCCAGCGCCTGCGCAATAATCTTGTTTACATTCGGTGCCTGCCGGATGCAGGCGCCATCTTGTAATGGAGAATGCAGGGACGGCTCCCTACACATAATAAGGAAAATTTAGAAAACATAGAACACAAAGTAAAAAGGAAAAATAATCATTGATAATATCATTTCTCACATATGACTGTTTTATAACATTTTGTTCTTTTAGCCATCTATATATGCTATATGTGTATCATGATATATATTCACTTACGGCTGTGCACAGCCCCCATATAGAGTGCCATCTATGTACAAACCCCATGTATAGTGCTATATACCACCCTTTGTTATTGGAAGACTTCATTTTGCCCACTACATGCATAAACTAGATATTTCTGTTTCCTTTGCAGGCAATGAACTAATTAATTGCAGAAACCATATTTTGGGGTTTAAGGAAAATATGCTACGCTTAAAAAACAAACATGAAAATAATCATCAAAATCTAGTGCAAGTCTTGAATCAAGTGAAGTATGAAATTACCCAGACAGCAAACACATCAGGAAACTTAGGTGCGTGCTGCTTTTGCTTTTGTGAATGGTCATCTGTTTACATAAACTTCGAGGTTTAGATTTAGGTGCTTCTGATTCTAGGTCTCTTCCCCCCAATAAACAGTCCAGCTAACACAGTGTTTTTTTGAGAGATACGCAACACCCAGGCAAGACGCATGGATGATGCACTTTTCCCGTCTCCACCATGGCAGCAAGTCTCCATATTTTCGCCAAGTTCTACCATCCATGAGCAATTCAGTAGAAGCAGCCAGAAACCCTGGCATCATCCCTCATCCCTCTTCTCTTGCATATGTCTGGTCAATCAACAGGCAGCCCTTCTCCTTCATCACCCTGTATCTGAGGGCCATCGCCTCTCCCCTCACCATCTCTACTACACTGGGGCTATCAATGTCAACAGCACTTTGTTTATCATTTTCAAAACTGTAGAAGGGATTATTTAGGAGTGGTGTGAACAGAGTTACAGAATGTTAAGGGGCTACAAAAAGTTATAAAGTTATAAATTTTAATGAAGTTGACATCAAACAAGGTAGCAAGGGCCCGGATCACAACCCTTTTTATCCATGCTCCTCAGCCCAGGACTGGCAGTTCTGCTGGTTTCTGGTGTAGCTCACAGTGCTGGGCTGAAATTGAACACTGGCTTAAAAACAGATACTCATCAATAACCATTGAACTATACCATATAGAATTATGATAGCAAAAATTTGCATGTGTTTCCTCGAGTACTAAGTTTGTGGATGAATTCACTGGCCCTTATTTTTTTAAAGTTGTATGGGGCTGGAGAGATGGCTCAGCAGTTCATGTGCCACTCATCCTCCTAGAGCACCAGAGAGAGCTCTGTTCCCAGAACCTGCCTGAGGAGCTGTGACTCCGGCTCGGGGACTTTAAGGCCCCAGCAGGCACCTCACACACATGTGCATGCTAGGGTGTGCAACACCCCACACACACACCTCTGCCTCACAAATAAAAATGTAAGACGTACTGCTGTGAACTCAGGGGCCTCCTCTCTTTCTCTTGCAGTTGAGAGGAAAGTGAACACATTGAGTGGGAAGGAAATACTTCCTAACGGGTTTGAAGACTTAAAATTCTTCCTTCCATATCTAAGGACAATGGGGAAAATTTACCCGGATGTAGCCACTGGCAGAGGGAAAGCAGGCGGTAAGAACAGTTAGAACCAGAAAACCAAGTTCAAGTATTTTGATCTTTGGGGGAATTTATATCTTAAAATTAAAGTTAGCATACAAACTAATGGGCTTCATTGTGAGATAATGTGTGTGCATATGCGTGTCATTGTGTGTATTATGTGTATATGCATGTGTTTATCATCTCTGTTTGATCATATTTGCCCCCTCACTACCTTCCCCTGTCCATCCTCCCCCTTCTTAGGGATTCCCAACTTCCTCTTCCTTCAAGAAATCCCTCTAGATGTCATGGTCAAGTTTTGGGGCTTGAAGTTTTAAGATACTAATATGTAGACTTCTAGCCAATGGAGAAAATAACAATTCTATTTAGTGACTTGAATTTAAGTTCAATTTCATTACAGATGATTGGAAAATTAATTGACATATGTCCAGTACACTCGAAGCATCTACTAATGCCCAGCAAAAGGTTTTCCTTGTGTGGACAAGCCTGCTGTTATGTGGTGATCATCCTATTCTTCCTACCTTCTTATGACCAATATCAGCAAAAGATGGAAGAAAGGATGGTTACTTATTTATTTGTGGTTTCAAGTCTTTTCTTTTTAGATAGGGTCTTACTATGTAACCCGCGCCGACCTTGAACTCATAATGCCTTTGTTTCTACCTCCTGAGCACTGGGGTTACAGCCATGCATCACTATTCCATGTAGAAGAGGACCCGTTTAAGCTCAGCTTTGAAGCAAGAGTTCAGGCTCATCATATATAACCAAAACACAGCCCTGCAGCTAGAAGCAGAGACACTGGGTCAAATCTCAGAATGTCTGACACAAGTGCCATTTGTTCCAGGGACAGGGTCACCCAGGGTCAGTCTCCCAGGCTGCCAGATGCTACATAAGGCTTTGCTGGGACAGAGCCACATTCATGTATGTCTGCTTTTGCACTACAATGGTGGAGTTAAGTAGCTGCAGCAGAGACAGCATGCCACAACAGCCAAAAGTCTGTGCTGTCTGACCCTTCACAGAAGAGGTTTGCCAGGCCCTGGACAAGCTATTCCTCAGAAATAAGTGAGCATCACATGCTCCTGACATTGCCCATGCCTGGAGTGTGGAGATAGTGGTGCTCCCAAACATTGTTCTTCTACTAAATTCTCACTGTGTTTCCCAAGCTAAACTTGTGTTTTCCATACTTTGCTTAGTCCCCAGTGCAGTGAGGCTAATTACCATCTACCTTTCCTTAGACCACGAAACAGAGGCTGGGAGACACTAAAGGGGGTTTTAAGCTCACATTGTAAATATCACTAACTCCATCAGGATTCCCCTTCAGAGCATTTTAAGGTTTAAGGAAAGATTGTAAATATCACTAACTCCATCAGGATTCCCCTTCAGAGCATTTTAAGTGTGAGTGTGTGTGTTTGTGTGTTTGTGTATGTGGGTGTGTGCAAACTATAGTTTACAGTAGAAGTTGAAAGGCAACAGGAAAAAATACATAGGAACTATAAGATATTAGGCTAAAGGTAGCCTAACCTAAATATAAAAAAATATAAACACTGGGGAAACCACAGCTGTGGCATTTATACAGCCGGACACTAGGGTGAACAAGATGCCCATAGAAGCTTAGTTCTTATCTAGATCATGTGGGGCCTGTGATTCTCCAGCTTTACTTGTTACAGTTACCTAAAGCCATTTGAGATACATATTTACTCCATCAAACCATTCATAAATGACTTCATTCATGGTTTCCACAAATGACAATATTTCAGAGTGTCTTTCCAGCCTGGGACTCCAGCCCCTCTGCAGGAAGAAGATGGCAGAACCTGCCATTATGGTATGATGTATACTGAGATAGATAGGTAAAGGCTGTATTAACGAATGGAAAATGTTTCATTTTATTTTCTCTACAACCAAATTCTCCAACATAAGAACACTTTGGAGTCTAGTGCACTGATTCACAGTCCACTGCAAATAACTGAAAATGAAAACCAGGACACAGAGTAACCCTGTGTAGTATTTTGGTCGTATGGCTCAAAACACTCTTTTTGGCATGAGCAAGACAGGCTCACTGGCAGGGATGGCATGGTCTGATGGTAAAGCATGCTTGCTCCATGTTTGTGCCCCTGTTTGTAGTTTCTTTCGCACTGGGAATCACCACCATTGACAGAAGGCAACACAGCTACCTGAAGCAGACGCTGACATCCATTCTGTCCAGGATGACACCTGAAGAAGAGAAGGACTCCGTGGTGATTGTCTCTGTAGCTGATGTATGTATGGGAAACGAGGTTCCCTCATCCCTCTCTGTAACCTCCAAACCCCCTCAACAACAGCCACTATTCCATCATGATTTTGGTTTTTTCACTTAAAGGAAGCATCCTGCAGATACTCCTGAGAGTCTAGGTGAAATATTTAGCACATATTGGGCACCACTGAAAAGAGCTATGTATGTAAATATGTATCTTATGTAAGAGCCCTAAGACTGTTAAAACCGAATTGCATTTAACAAAGGATGCTTACATTGGGCAAAATACAGACATTATTCTATTCAATTATAAATTCAAAATTTTAATTGTAATTGTAAATTTCAAATAGATTATTATAACTGTTACTGTAGTGATAAAATCTGCCTAGCTCAATAAAGGGTTGGTATATGCATTATTAAGTTCTGGTAAATATGGTTCATTGAAGGTTCCTTCCTAGGCCTGGGGGATTTCAAAGAATTGTTCTAGCATTATTTATAACCTGGACAACATCTCTGTAAAGTGTGTGTCACTATCTTGATTTTATTTATTTTTTAAATCACCTGCCTCCCTTTTATTATTTAAAGAAAATTTTTTATTTAAATACATCTAGATCAAATTCTTCTCTCCCCAATACCTACCCTACTTTAAGTTCTTTCTCAAACAATAAACAAAAGTCCAATGCAACAACCCCCCCAAAGCCCAAGAAAACAAAATAAAATACCATCACCCCAAAATAAATAACACCAAATAAAATCATGTACACATACTCTCTCTCTCTCTCTCTCTCTCTCTCTCTCTCTCTCTCTCTCTCTCTCTGTGTGTGTGTGTGTGTGTGTGTGTGTGTGTGTGTGTGTAATCCAATATGTTTTGGTCAATTACTCCTGAACATGGGTCCTGCCCTAGAGTGGTTTCTCCAGTGTCACTCCATTGGAGAAAACTGATTTTACCTTTCACAGCAGGTATAAATGACAGCTCAACTGTTAACCTTTACCCTAGTCACTAGGTTTTCTTTCATTCATCCATTTATTTAAAAAATATAACAAAATAAAATATAATAAGATAAAACAAAACTATCACTTTAAAGTTGGGCAAGACAAACCAACAGGAGGAAAAGAGCCCACCAGAAAGCACAAGAGTCAGAGATCCACTCTTTCACACTCAGGAGTCCCATTAAAACACTAAACTGGAAGCCATAATATATATGCAGAGGACCTGGTGCAGATGTGTGCGGGCCGTCTGCATGCCGCTTCAGTCTCTGTGAGTTCATATGAACTTTGATCATGTGGATTTAGAGGGCCTTGTTTTCTTGGTGTCTTCCATCCCCTCTGGCTTGCACACTTTTTTTGCCTCTTCTTTGGGGGAAGGAATTCCTGAGCTGTGGCAGGGTATGAATGAAAGAATGAGAGCTTAAAGAAGACATCTTGCCCAGTAATTAATAGATTCAGGTGTAGTTCACCCGGTGACTACATGAGTTTCTTTTTTACCCCAACCCATACTGGTAATCACTCTATCATTTTGAAAATTTGAGTAAAATGATATAGAATTGTGTATTAGTATCATAGACTTTGGGGAGAAGGAGCTGCCAGCACATATCACATTTTAAAATTCAAATTCTGGGAACTTGTCCTCAGGAGACAGGCAAGTGTCTGAACACAGTGACAGTATGAGGGCACAGTGAGCTAGGCAAGTACCCAGGCTGCACTTGTGTGGTCACCTTCCAGTAACAGCTTCTCTGCTTCCTGCTTCATCTGTGAAATCGGGTTGAGGCTGACATTAGCTAATGTACTTCAGATGTCTGTGTCTGAAGTGCTACTGGGCTCAGAGTGAGTGTCAGACACACACTCATTCTAAGGGGCTTCATTTTAGATGTGTAAGAGTGGCTATACTAATTTTAGTGTGATTAATGTAATGTCCCATACTTTAACACACAGAGAAGTGTGCAGTAGTTTCTGTATTCAAATAATTGTTCTTTAAAATAACTGTGCAGAAATTATTATGTCACAATGACATTTCACACACAAATCCCATGTCGCACAAGTGCTGTATTGATAAGACCGTTAGGCATACTTCATATCAGTGATCTTTCTTCTTCTTTTCAGACTGATGATTATTTAAATTATGTTCTTGACATGGTTAAAACAAAGTAAGTACTTTCTAATAAATTTCAACATCAGCTACTCTTTTATTTTTGTGTTATATGCTTTCCTGTCCAATAGTATTATTATTTATTGATTTATTCTCTTTAGTGAATCCAAGCCATGGGAAATGAGCCTGTGGTTTTTTCTAATCTGAGAATTAGCACAGATATGTGTATAGCACAGAATTCTTCCTGAGTTTGCAGGCTTCTTATTGGAATTCATATTTTTTTGCTCTATCTGACTTCATCTGCAGATGGGGGAAGGAAGGGATGAGCCAGTTCTATGGGGTAAGTGGACTTCCAGGAGCACATAGGAGTAGAGAGCTCGTGCCTGGCACAGAATCCACCTGAAAGGCACAGAATCAAAAGGGCAATGTGCAAGACTGTTGGAACTTTCATATTTGGAGCATAGATCCTTGAGGTTAAGAAGGGAAGAATGATAGCCATGGAGAGACCTTTAGGAAGGAATTTGCAGTTTTCTAATGACCAGGGCGGTAACCCTGGCCACTGAGCTGGGTCTGGCTAAGGGGAGTGCAGCCAGCAGTGATGTATTCTGTCTTGGTTTACTCTACTTAGTAGTGGATAAGGAAAAACCAAGTGGGCGGGATTGTCAAGATCATAAGTGAGAAGAAAAAAGAAAAATATCCAATGTTTGTGAACACTTGGGATTTGCTATATAGTTTCACAGGTAACACCATTGGGGGCCCTGCAGGGATGGCTGGGCTGGTAAAGCACTTGCCTTACAAGCCTGAGGACCAGAGTTCAGATCCCACATTTAAAAAAAAAAAGGTGTGTGGGCATAATAACCCACCTATAATCCAGCGTAGGAGGTGAAGATGGAATCCCTGAGCAAGCTGGCTGGCCAGACTGGCTGAGTTGGTGAGCTCTCTAAGATTAAGAGAGATCCTGCTTCTACGTAAGGTGGAGGGAAACCAAAGATGACAACGAACATCAGCCCCAACCAACACGCACAAGCATAGGAACATGAATACACAGAAACACAGAATACACATGTAAAAATCAGTGGCTTCGTGCTCGCTTCGGCAGAACATATGCTAAAATCAGTGGCTTCAGAAATCGCTGTATTTTTTTTAGCTGAAAATGAGGAAATTATGTGAGATGGTTTCTAGTGTTGATAAGGTGTTGATGTTAGTGCAGGGCACTTTGAGCAATTAGTTTTAAATGTGACGATGCAATAAATTAATTATTTTATTTTGTGTGAGTTAGTATATATGTTTATGGGTGTGGTGTGTGTACGTGTGTGTGTATGTGTGTGTGTGTGTGTGTGTGTGTGTGCACACACTGTTCAAGTGCAGAGGCCAAAGGAGGATTTCTGTGCCCTACTTTAGCACTCTCTGCCTTATTGCTTTTGACACAGGGCATTTAGCTGTACCTGGAGCTAGCCTGACAGCCAGCAAGCCCAGAAATGCTCCTGCCTCTGCCCTCCACCAGTGCCAGGGTCACAGGGACGCCCCACAGCCGTGCCTGACTTTTCGTTGGTTGTGGGAGCCAAACAGACGGCCACGCTTGTGCAGCAGGCAGTTTTGCCCTGTGAGCCATCTCCCCAGCTGACTCCATCACTACCTATGAACATGTTAAAGAATAAGTGATGTCAGAAGTGCAGTGATGAGACTAGCACTGTTTTGTTGGCAGCCATGGGCTCACTCTCTAACCCTAAAATTTTTCTAAGTGATTGTTTCTCAGTTGTTTCATGTCAGTTAGCATAAATGTATAAATTTCAGTCCGTGTTTAATTTCATAACATTTAGCTGAAGCATTTTGTTCAGATCTTCCAGAGTAATGAGGAAGTGTGTTAGATTTGAATTGATCATAAATTTGGAACTGTGTGATAATTTTTAAAGCACTAATGTTATATAAATAAAACTATTGGGACTGAACATAACTGTATTTTATACAAGACCATATTACTTCAAGGTTTTCCCTTACGTATCACTATGGAGACGACTATTTGTTTATAATAGTGACTGTCAATTCTGGAATAGTCACCTCAAGAACTTTTGATGTAATATAAACTAACAATCCAGAAATGTTTCAAAAAAATCCTAGGAAACTGTCACCACCCAGGACTGCAAAGGACTAAATCTCTCTCCACCAGTAAAGGGAAATTGTACCACCAAATGGGGTGATGTTGTCTGCAATGTCAACTTCACATCAACTTCCACAGTCCAAGATTTTCCATGAGTGTGGATGCTGGTCTTCATTTGCCTCTACTGTACTCAAATCCTATGTATGGCTTTATGTTATATAATTTCATTTTAAAATTAGTTACTCTGTTACTTATTTTTGTTCCCAGCCAAACATAACTTCCCCACTCTTTTCTTCTATAACAGTAGTTTCCACTCTCTGAGGAGATACCAAAGTTAATTCTTTTAAGTTTTACTTTAGGAGGTGGGTGGAGCAGCACACTATATAATCCTGGTTGGATTTTGGAGGCAGAGGCAGGAGAACCAGCCACAGTCATTGTTAAAACATCAATACACAGTCCATCGGGCAGCAGAGGCAAGTCAGGCCAAGTTGGCTACCTGTTTAGCCTAACTTCAGAAGCTGCACTGCTGTTGAGTGGGGCTCCAAGTAAACAAATTTACCCATTGGGAAAGTGATCCCACACAGTTGTTTTCTTATAGCCTCTTATTGTACCTTATTCTCTCTCCTCCTGACTGTCAAAAGAAAATTCACAGTATATATACTCCTGTGGGAAATACGTTTAACAATTTGCATTCTAATTTTTAAATGTTTTATTTGTTTTTCTGTGTTCATGATATGGGGGCATGCATGCCACAGTTTGGGAGGTCAATGGACTCTGTGGTAATTGGTTCTCTCTTCCACTTTTATGTGAGTTCCTGGGATGGAACTTGGGTCACTGGGCTTGTGGGATAAGTGTCTTTACCCACTGAGCTATCTTGCTGGTCCGTGTATTTTAGTCCTTTTTTTTTTTTTTTGGTATATCCTTCATTGGTTTATAAACATTTTGACGTGGAACTAGCACTTCCATGTTATTGGTATCAGGTACCAACCTGTGAGATAATCCAAGCCAATATGTTATGTGGACTCGAACAAAGAAGGCATTTTTAAGTATTTATATTAGTTTGGTAAGTTAAGATATTCAAATATATTGGTGTTCAGCCTCTCTTTACTTCTATTTCTAGATTCAAAAGACAAGTGCAATCTGGGTCCTTGGAAGTCATTTCAATACCCACCTTTTTTTATCCAAGTATATTGCTTGGCAAGAAAGCAAAAGAGGACTCAGACAGGTAGGTCAAAGAGTGGACCTGAAAGAGCCTGCGTCCTGAGGACGTCCTGGAACAGGGACCTCAGAGATAATACCTCCAAAATAGTGACGTGGGGAAGCCAGTGCCTTCGGACTCACACTGGTTGTCTGTGAGTCAGAGTCCTAGCTCTAAGTCCTAGTCCAATGGCATTTAGTTGGTAGCATGAAATCAGCCATAACATCATTCCATGCCAATGGGCAGAAGATACATATGAGGAGCCACCACCCTTCCCATGCTGAGTTGGTTGGCAGCATTTGCCAGCACACTGCTGAGGGTGCTTCTCTGTGTTTACAGATAACGATTAATAGAAACACAGGGAAGGAGGCGGGGGGCCTGGATTGGAGCTCATGACTCCTGGATGGTACTCCCAGCTCTCCTATGCCCCAGTCATGCTAGACAGGTAAACTGGCCTTTCCCCTTAATTTCCTCAACTGTGCCAATACTTTCAACGAAATAGCATAGATACACAGTGTTTAATAGAGAAAAACAGATCATTTGGAAGTTACAAGAACAAAACATGACTATTTATGAAAGGATATTAGAAAGTTGAAACCTTTGTATGCAGACAAGTAATTACATGTTTCTGGTAATAAACATGGTATTGTGGGGAATGCATTGAGTTGATTTCTCAAAAAAAAAAAAAAAACTTAGTGATACCCATGGGAGGCCTGCTCCTTTCTGAGTAAATAATGGAAGGGGGTGGATGGAGTGGTGGATGGGGAGGGTAGAGGGAGCATAAGAAGGGGGAGGGAGGCTGTAGTCAGGATGTAAAATAATTAAATAAATTATTTTTAAAAAATGAGAAAGTCTTGCCAGAAATCTCAGGGGAAATGCCTTCCCTGAGCACCTATTACATGCCTATGTTACATGGTATTATATCATATGTGGTGTGTTTGAATCTCAAGCTACGTAAAGGTTTGTGTCCATCCTTGCACTAGTGTCCTACTCTGTGTTCAGGAAGTTGCCCCAGACCTTTGCTGTCCTGCAGCCTTTCTTCCTTTGCCCTGTCCCTTGAGGCTTATGCACAGTTCTCCCCACCCCTACTCCACAGGGCTGGTTCAGTCTGCCTTCTCTTAGATTCACTCTCCATGGTCAGAAGTCTCTTTTCTTCATATGAGATCAAGTCCAATGTGTCCCATATGTCATAAAGCATCCTGCATGCTTGGTTGGTCTCCAGCACCCTGCTTCTCTGGCCCCGAGCTCTCCCTGCTCTGTAGCTGAGGTGGCTAGCCCCTCCATGCTTCAGGCCTGGGCACTGTATTTCAACTATATGCTACAAGTACCCTGGCTTTTTCTGTTGCACTTTTCTGCCCTTCCCATCTTGTTGTACAGTGTTCTTAGGGTAATGACTTTACCCAACACAATCTAATTGCTCTAATTTTTCCATTTCTGTGTGTATTTTCTTAATAGTGAGACCCCAGGGCAAGAACTGTCATGTCCTGTTCTGTGTATCTCCAGGACATGGCCTAGTCTCCTATTTGCTGATAAAGTACAATAAGATTCCTAAATACTTTCATGTGATCAAGAAAGGCTACTTTAGTTTCCTGTTTATTGTTGTGATAAAACACTGGCCAAAAGCACCTTGGAGGAAAATGGGGCTAATTTTGCTCAGTTCCACATCACAACCCATCACTGTGGCATGCCAAGGCAAGACTTCAAAGCAGGAGCTTGTTGCAGTAACCAATGGAGAAACTCTGCTTACTGGCTTCATCTCCAACGCTTGATCAGCTACCTTCTTCTACACCCTAGGACCACCTGCTCAGGGGTGGCACTGCCCACAGTGGACTGGGCTCTCCAGCAGCAATCATTAATCAAGAAAAGACCCCCACAGTTGCCTACAGGCCAATTTGATGGAGTCAGTTCCTCAGTTGACTCCAGTTTTTGTCAAGTGGACAATAAACTATGTAAATAGTAACTTGTTACTTAAATAAAAATTTAGCTGAAATGCAAAACACATAGTCTATGCTTGTTCTAGTCTAGCCGCAGTAGGTACTGCCCACTCAATAGAGAAGCTCTTTAGTATAACTTTAGTATAAACATATTTACTTGTATTTACTGTCTGTACTAGTCTATCAGAAAATGTAAAAGTGTTATTTAATTACTGAAATAGGCTTATAAATGAATCTGCTATAATGAACATTAACAGATTTTATTCTTTATTTTTTAGTTGGCAAATGAAACAAGTATTGGATTGTTGTATTTTGATGCTGTATGCCCAACCCAAGGCCACGTATTATTTACAGGTGAAAACTTGTATACATGAATTTTAAACCAAGTATTACTTTTTCAATCCTTCCTTTAGTTCCTTCCTTTCTCCTTGTGTTGCTCTTAGTCTGTAGCCAAACAAATAGCAAATAGCTATGAAGTCAATATGGCCAAAGGAAGCTTAAGATTGATTATATCTCCTTGCTGTGTTCACTGTATCAGAGAGAATTAAAGTTAGAGAGCACAAACTGAAAAGAAAATCTAAAGCTCCTGGGAGGACATAGAAATTGCCCTGTGTCTGAGTCTAAGCTGTCATGTAGACACACCCAGACTGCCACCGAACACTGCCTCTCACTTGGTGAGTGGCACTGTTAAATACTGCCTTAGTGAAGCTGTAGAAAGAGTCCATCCTTTTGGTCCCTTCAGATCACCAGATAACAGTGGCATGTCTCCTGTAATAAGCAACACACCTTACTACCAAGAAAAATGTGCCCTCGTGGAGTTTTCAGAATTATCAGTAGAGGGCAGACAGAAGGCTAGAGAAAGGCTGAAAGCAGGATCTCTGCCAACACTGAAAGACAAACAACTCCTTTAGCTCAGTGGCGACTCCCAGGAACTCCGTCTCTTCCCTGTGCCCCGTAGAAGCGCCATAGTCTAAGGACCTCACATCCTGTATATAAATCAAGGACGGCTCTTACCCTCACCCCCTTCTCTAGGGAGGCCTCATTCTAAGGATCCTTCTGACCAGCCAGGAGTGGGTGGGAATGGCCCGCTTCTTCCTGCCACCTCTCACCAAGGACCATGGTAGCTACAGATAGAACCTGGCAGCATTACCTCAGGCGCAGAACAAATCTGTGTCTGCTGCTTTCTTGATGTTTGTGTTTCCACCCTAAATTACTGTGTTGAAGTCCTAGTTCTCAGATGCGTAGTATGAGGAGGTAGGCCCTTTGGGTGTGATTTGGTCCTGAGGATAGAGTCCTGATGATTGGGATTAGTGTTTTCATACAGAAGGCCTCTTCTCTCTGTCAGAGAACACAGAGACCTCCATGAAGACTGGGCCTCTGCAGACTCCTCATCTTCTAGCACCTGGCTGGCTGCTGGACTGCCAGGAGTCCAGAAAGTTTAGAAATAACCAGCTTTACTGCTGTGGATAAGCCAGCCCATGGAACCCTGTTATAACAATCAGCATGGACTGCCATCACCTTAATTAAAGCTGAAATGTTGATGACAGTTAAAATGGATTCAACGGAATCTCAAGGAGGACTTAAGTGGGATGTTCTGGTCAGCATTTAGGAGAAAAAAAAAGAGAGACACTTTTGGTCTTTTCTCATAGTCAGAGAATAAATCTGACTAACTGAGAATAGCCTTAGTGAATTGAAGATTATCATCTAGCCAAAGACATTTCCAGTCTGTTCTATTGGAAGTATTTTTTTTTTTTGCCTTTGAGATAATGTCAATTTAATGGAATAATTAGAGGTATTGATGCTGTTTTTTGTATTTGGCTTCTTTTTCTCTAGCTAGAAGATGATATCATAGCAAGAAAGATGTATTTTACAAAAATGAAAGATTTTGTAAATAGTCTCACTTCAAAAAATTGGCTTTTTATTGAATTTTCAGTACTTGGACTTATAGGTAAGCCATAGTCTATTGTGTTCAATCATGTTGGATTAAGCTCGTTTTTCTTTCCTTCCTTCTTCCCTTCTTTCTTCTCTTTTCTTTCTAAGATGGGTTTTTTATGTAGTTCAAGTTGGCCTTGAACTCTGCATCAGGGTAGACCTCAAAATGTTAATCCTTCTGCCTCATCTTCAAGTGCTGGGATTATGGGTGTGTGCCAACACCCTCTACTTAGAGTAAGGGTTTTCTTTTCTGTCTGTCTGTCTGTTAGCACAGAATAGTTTTAAAACTTTTAAAGAACATATCAAATAGTTTGTTTGCTATAGTACCAAGTGAAAAGGTCTGGCCTGATTTCTGTATGAATAATATGACTTGATAAAGCCAAATTGGTGCATGAATTACAGGCAACATATTTTGATCGTTTGTTCTAGGTAGACAATATAAATGAGCAAATTAATGTATATGTGCATATTATAAAAACATAAAATTAGGGGCTGGAGAGATGGCTCAGAGGTTAAGAGCACCGACCGCTCTTCCAGAGGTCCTGAGTTCAATTCCTAGAAACCACATGGTGGCTCACAACCACCTGTAATGAGATCTGGTGCCCTTTTCTGAGCAGAATGTTGTATACATAATAAATAAAAAAATCTTTAAAAAAATAAAATTGGGTGCTATGAGTATGCACATGTTCAGTGACAAATATGTACTATCCCTTCTTTATGTAGAAGAATGCTGAGGGGCCCTTGTTATACCCTAGTTGGGCAGTATATGCTCAGTACACACTAACCTCCAAATCTTATCCCTATATCTGACCAACAAACTGACCAATGAAAAAACCCAACTAATTATCAGAGAAGTGAAGTTGCAGAGAAAGGAATTCAGGCTGTGGTACCTGAGTGTCTAATTTCCAATGTGCCAGAGTTGCTACTGTTAATAGAAATGACTTAGTGGCCGGGCAATGGCTCAGTTGGTAAAGAGCCTGCTGTGTAAGCACAGGGACTCCAGTTTGGATCCCCAGCACCTGTACAAACATCAGGCATGTGGAGGCACCCGTACCAGATTTGGGGAATCTGGAGAGGCAGAATCAGTGAGTGTCAGGTTCTGTGGGAGATGCTCTGAAAAATGTAAGATGGAGAATGATCAAGGAAGACACCCAAATACTGACCTGGACCTCCGGAAGCATGTGTATTGCATGCTCGTGAGCGCACACCACATGCATACACAACATCAAAAAGAAATGGTGTGTGAATTGTACCAGCCACAGAAAAAGCCCTGAGACAGTGCTTGCCGTATGATTTCAGTTCCTGCAGTCATTATTTAGATTTCCCTTTTTCTTCCTTCCTCTCAGCCTTGCCCTTATTTCCTTTGAGCTTTGTGGTCTCAAGCTGGGTTACTGTGCCCCTCATTTCCAGGGGCCTGACATCAATTAATCTGATGGACTTTCACTCTTATTTTACTCTTTAAAAAAGAAATCCCAGCTTCCCACTTTAACATTGACCCACTGTCTAAGTAGTTTCAAAGTCTTAACAGGTTCAAAATTGACCTGGAAGCTAAAACCTATCCAAGTAAAGCATCTGCTTTTTCTCTCCATGGCACCTGTCTTACATTTACATAATAGAATAAGCCTTTTTTCTAGTCCTTACAGCTTTTACCTCTGAAGCTTCACTGTCTCAACAGCAGTTAGGAGAGGGGGCGGGGAGGGAGAAGGAGAGGGAGAGAGAGAGAGACTCATATGTGTGACACTAAAGACGTATTTCAACTTCACCTCACACGGCCTTAATTTTCGTTACTCTGGCAGCCAGAAATATGACCATGCTGAATAGAACTTTGCAGGACATATATTAACTGTTTTCATCATTCAACTCAACATCAGCAAGTGGCTAAATTACAATTGTACATTTCATGTTACATGACCCACATAGCCTTAAAATCCAAAGAAAAATGTATGTGTCCATCTAACTTACTAAATGGGCCAAGTTATTTTATGTTGCATACTTTCAATCAAACATCCAACTGCATCTTTTCCATTCAGTTTCATTTTAAAATTCAGGACTCAGTGTTTGAAAAAGAAAAAACTAACTGGGCCTAATTGATCGTATTTTTAAAAATACAGTATATCTTTAAGAACCATAAACCTAACATAATATTGTATCTTATAAATGCCTGATTAAACAATTTTCAAATTTTGAAATAGTCAGTATTTTAGTAAAAAAATTAGGACTAAAGATTCCTATGTAGTAGACTCATTCAGGGCTGGGAGATCAGGTAAGGGTCCTTTGTGTAGAACTGAGTGGCCTTTCCTGCTTGCCACTCTGTCACCTTTCGAGTGACTGAGACAAAGGGTGAGTTCAAAATGGTTTCCTGAGAGAGCAGCCCGGTATAAAGTGGCTCACAGACTGGCCTCTCTACAGTCTGAAGCAAATGTGATGTTTTGTGTTGCTGTCTGCAACCTTGGTGATGTGATGAAGTTCTGTTTGCTCCTTTGAGTGGAACACACAAGGCTCATGTCATGCACATGTCCATGAGTTTGCTTTTTCTCCACAGGGAAACTCTTTCAGTCAAAGGACCTGCTGGACTTTGTACATTTTTTCTTGATGTTCTACAAAGTGAAGCCCATTGATATGCTTTTAGAAGACATTTTCCTGGTGAAGATGTGCAACTTGGGAGAGCATTTTGTGAGTGTCCCTGGTGAGGGTGGCAGCAGGGGAGACCCTGCACAAGTGTCCCTGGTGAGGGTGGCAGCAGGGGAGACCCTGCATGAGTGTCCCTGGTTAGGGTGGCAGCAGGGAGACCCTGCGTGTGAGTGTCCCTACAGAAACACCAGATTGGGAAAATACCATCATGTCACACTAACACGGCAATATTTTTATTAACAAAAATAATGATCTGATGAGTATAACAGAACATTAAGCTTCTGTATCCTAAATTTTGCTGACATCTCCATAATATTAAATGAAATAATGAGGATCCAAAATAATGCTGAGAAAAGTTACAACTCAGACAAAAAACAAAAAGCAAAACAAAACAACAAAAACCAAGTCCCTAAAATAACAAAAAGAACATAGGTAAACAAACTGAAAAATAATAATACATACATCCAAGCAACTCAATATTTGTGTTAAGTGTGTTTGTCCAAAAGCACCAAGATAGATATAGATTATCAGAATTTTTTTAATTACAGCTAGTGTGTGTGTGTGTGTGTGTGTGTGTGTGTGTGTGTATGTGTGTCTGTGTGTGTTCAGTCAGATTAAAAGTCATAGGTGGGAAAAGGTAGACCACGCATATTGTAAGCCATACAGGAAAGCCGTCAGTTCTGTGGTGGACCTCAGAGCAGGAACACTGCTCCAGATAGTCAAGTGCCCTGGGTGGTTCCATGGACATCCCACTGGTAACTGCCAGACTTCAGTTTGAAAAGACAGCTGATCTTGATAAGTTACTAACAACTCTGATAAATTGAAAAGACAAAAGGCACCAGCCTTAGAATGAGAAAATATGGTGACAGAATTCACAGGCCCTAATAGGAAACTGAATGCTACAATTACATACATGTAGCCTCAACCTAGAAAGGCAATGGCTGCTTAGCAAGCTTAACACACCGTCAAATCTTATCCGTAACAGAACAGATGACCTGAGCAAGTCTACATGTAAGACAGAAATCCAGCAAATAAATAAAAGCCCTCTGAAAAAGAAATGTTCCATTCCTGGTGGTTTTGTAAATGAGTTCTAGCTAACAAACAAATAATAACAATCCTATGAGTTTTACATTTTTCTACTTTTTTAAAAAACAGATCTTGTCTCAAGTTTATTTGTAAAAACACCATAGAGTACAAACCATCTGCAAATAGTGTATAGGTGTGTTACACCAGTCTCTCTGTCTTCACATTGGCAGACAGAAGCCTTTTCTATGGGACCTTTGGAGGAACCTGGGCACCTGAGCTAGAGCTTCAGCCTCATACTTAGTTGAGTCTTGGGCTTTAGTTGGCAGAGTCTGAAACCCTTGGCCATGTCACTGGAAATCTGCTTCCCAAGCGTGGGATGAGCGATGAAAGCCAGATGGCTGAGTTTGTGTTGGGGCCTTCAGCATCATAGACTTAACTGGTTGCCTTGGGTTTCACAAGGACCTTACTGGCTGTGCACAGGTACTGATTGCCTTCAAGCAGTTTGCCTGTACCTTCTTCAGGCCTTAATTGCTGTGCTTCTTGGCAAAGCACATGCTCTGCTGGAACTTGGGGTCAACCTCCTTAAGGGACTCCTATCTTTGTGACTGGGATTTCTTTTTTGTTTTTGTTGTTTTGTTTTGTTTTTGTTTTTTTGTTTGGTTGGTTGGTTTTTTATTTGTTTTCCCAGACAGTATTTCTCTGTATTATTTTGGATCCTGTCCTGGAAACTCACTCTGTAGACGAGGCTGGCCTCAAACTCACAGAGATCTGCCTGCCTCTGCCTCCCGAGTGCTGGGATTAAAGGTATGTGCCACCAACGCCCAGCATGATTGGGATTTCTTGAAGCTATTCCTGTGCTGTTTTGGGGATTGGCTATGCTTGGTGTGGTTCTTGGCCATGTCTGCAGAGTAGTTTGTGGATCCTGAAGAGCCTGGGACTTTTTGAATGGTGTGCTGAGTGCTGGTCCCCAGACCCAACCTGTGCTCAGCAAGCACTCAACACAGAGACACATCAGCCCCAGAATTTTAAAAAATTAAATAAGAGGAGGCACATCCAGCATGAGCTTGACATAAAAACCAAAGGGGATACAAGAAAGAAACCCAGGACTCAGCACTTGGAGGGTCAAGGCAAGAGGATCATGACTTGGAGGTAAACCTGGGCTACAGAACGAGGTTGAGATCAACCTGAGCTACACAGTCAAAATCTCTCTCTCTGTCTCTCTCTGTTTCTCTCTCTCTCAAACACAGACACACTCACACACACACTCTCTCTCTCTCTCTCTCTCTCTCTCTCTCTCACACACACACACACACACACACACACACACACACACACGGTGACAGAGGTGAACCAAGATAAAAATGGTAAATTCCACATGAACATAGCTATAAAATTTCCCAAATAAACAACAGTGAATTAAAACAAAATGGTGAATTTGAATTTAATCTAATTTAAATTAAATTAGATTAAAATTATATGCAATTTAGTCTATGCTAAATTTTTAAGGAATGGCTGGCAAAGTAACTCAATGATGAAGTGCTTGCCAAGCATGTTTTACACCCTAGGTTCCTTGCCAACTCTGCCACACAGCACAACAAAATCCAAAAATTCCCAACCAAACAAAAAGCATTTTTGGTTGTTTTTTTGTTTGTTTGTTTGTTTGTTTGTTTTGAAACAAGATTCCTCTGTATTGTTTTGGAGCCTGTCCTGGAACTCAATCTGTAGACCAGGTTGGCTTTGAACTCACAGTTCCTGAGTGCTGAAATTAAAGGCATGCACCAACACCTGGTAAAAAACAGTCTTAAGGAACAAAGTTACATGCTATTGTGAGTCAAGATGCAAAAATCATGTGATAAGATTAGCTTTCAGACAAATGGGAATAGAGCAGAATTTGGGCTTCAGCAAAATGAGACACACCTGTGCGGCAGAAGGATTTCTATAAGCCAGAAAGCCTTGTTTTTTGTTGTTGTTGTTGTTGTTGTTGTTGTTGTTGTTTGTTTTGTTTTGTTTTGTTTTTGTTTTGCGAGACAGGGTTTTTCTGTGTAGCTTTGGAGCCTATCCTGGCACTGGCTCTGGAGACCAGGCTGGCCTCCAACTCACCGCGATCCACCTGCCTCTGCCTCCCGAGTGCTAGGATTAAAGGTGTGTGCCACCAATGCCCAGCTAGGGTTTTATATCACAATATGTAAAGAACTCCTAAGAACTAATAGAAAGTCTAATTTTAAAAGAGATGTAGGGCTTTGGAGAGATGGCTGGTGGGATGAGTCAAGGTTAAGAGGACCCAGGTTTGGTTCCCAGCACCCAAGTGGCTCACAAGGCCTTTCACTAACAATCCAGGGATCCAGTGTCCTCTTGTGGCCTCCATGGGCACTGCATTCACGTGCATCTAAAACAGACATGTAAAATAAAATAAATCTTTGCAAATGTGGACAAGCCCGATTAATCAAGGCATTATTCTCTCTTACCACCTGTGTAACAGATGCAGCCCTGCTTAGCAGCAGGCTGTGCTGGGGCGTTTGGGACAGGTGGGGAGGGACAGGCCAGCCACATTGCTTTCCGACTGGAACTTTTCTAAAACTATTCCAAATATTTCATATTGGCCAACTTATTTAACGGTTTGAGCAATTTTCCCCACATAATGAATTTCAAGCTGAACTAACAATCATTAAATTGCTTCTCCATTGTTATTAGATCCTTTGATGAAATATTTTCTTATACAATAGTATTGGGTAGGAACACACTTAAGTAAAGTTACTAGATTTTTTTAACCTGTATGTGAAAATTTGAGATTGACTTTTCTGAACTTAAATGAAAATAAATGATTCTCAAATTCTAGTCATGATCATTTGGAATGTCTATTTGCTTTTAGGATGCTGGGGATGGATGGAACCCAGGACCCGGCACATGCCAGCCCAGTCCTCCACCTCTGGGCCATCCTTTGTGTAGTTCTGATTTGTTTTGAATAGCAGGGGTGACATGCCCTCCCATTTTATATTTTTATGGAGCTCAATTAAACAGTTTTCCATTAAGTATGGTATCGACTTCGTACTGTAATCACACATTATTTTTTCCACTTATGAAGAGATTTTGAAGGATCTAGTTTGATGCAGAATTATGAATACAGGAAGACAAAGGTGTGGTAATGTACTCTGACAGAATTGTGTAGACAGGAAAATACCCCCTCCCCCCAAGTCACTTAAGTTATTGAAATGAAAAGAGGAAAGAACCAGTTGTGTGCTTCATACCTGCAACCCCAGCACTCAGTAGGCTGAGATAGGAAGATTGTCTTAACCTCAGAGTTAGTGTGTGCTATACAGTAAGTTCTTGGGCAGCTTGGGCTATGCAGTAGTGAGATCTTGTCTCAAAAAACAAACAACAACTACAACCAAAAAAATCTTCTTTAAAAAGAGAGAGAAAGAGAAAATGAAAACTGATAAAAAAAATGTAGCCTGGCTTTGTGTGAGTTTGTGAAACTACACACTTCCTCGAAGCTTTTCCTTCTCTTCTGCTGGGTTATTCTTATATAGGAAGACCCCAGAACAGAACATTTTGTGCCAAATTTCAAATCCTGATATAGAGAACTCTGAACAAAACTAATCTAAAAGGATCCTATGGGCAGTAGCTGTGGTAGAAAGTAGTAGTGGAGTCTGTGTGAAGATAGCCGCTTGCCCTTTCCCCAGAGGAGGTGTATGTATCGAAAGAAGGACGTTCGGGTTCAGTACAGACCGTCTCTGTTCCAGCACGTGGGCATTCAGTCATCATTTCCTGGACGACAACAGCACCTCAAGGTAAGGCTCTGAAATGGACCCTGAGTGCCACAGCCTCAGTGACCTTAGAGACCCTCGAAAAGAGGAGGTGATGCCTGTGATAGTGTGCCTGTCACTGTGAAGTTTATAGAGCTGTCTTCTAAGAGCCCAAGTCATTTACCACGGTAAGGAAAATTTGGTCTACGTACATTCATTCTTTTTAGCTGTCCAATCCAAATAAGACTTAAGAAGTGTTTTGGAGGGGGAAAAAAAAGCAGCACATTATTAGCAAGGATATTTTCGAAATGGAAAGCCCTTGTAAATGTAATCAGTATGTTTATTTAAATAACTATTGACGGGGGGGGGGGGAATCATCATTGTGTAGTGTTTAGGCATTCTTAAATTTCACATCAGTTTTGGAAACTGTTATTGTCGCTACGACGTGATACCCGAGACAACCGACTTAACACCAGGATAAGGTTTATCTTGGCTCACAGTTCCAGCAGGGTCAGTCCAGGCTTGCCCAATCCTCTTGCTTTGGGTCCATGGTGCAAACATGTCATGAGGAAAGTACAGCGCAGGGAAACTGAGCACAGAAAGAAGGGACTGCGTCAGAAGTATACACCCCCAGAAGCCAAATTCTTCCCCTTGGGTTCCATGTGTTATAGGTTTCCCCACTCTCTAGCTGCCAGTGCCTGGTGACCAAAGCTTCACACCGAAAAGTATTTCGAAATCCCTGGTAGTGGGTTTCTCCATCCAGGCAGTAAGTCAAATCAAGCCAAAGGATTTAATCTTAGCAAAGCAACTCCTGGAGAAAGGAAGCAGGAGAGAAATTTCTCCAGGAGTCTAGGGGCAGGGTCCTAAATACCCTGTAGGCTGGGCCTTGAGTAGCTCCAGGTGAGGAGCGGGTCCTTGGTGGCTTTCTGAGAGGGTGAGGTTTAAAATGGGAGGGGTGGGGCTGAGTTCCCAGCCGAACGTCTGGCCAGGGTTTGGAATGGAGCTCAGGATGGAGATTCTCAGCATACAAGTGTGCCTTTGGGGTGTTTACCCAAACCATAGTGGCATCTGGATGGCTAAGAAGAAACAGTTCAGGTTCCAAATAGCACGAGTTTAGTCGTGGTGACTTCAAGTGGATGTGTGATCCTGGGGAACCCTAAATCATCCAGAAGACTTCTTACCACTGAAACACCACCGTCATCTCTGCCGTTAGTGTCTTCGCACAAGGCAGGAAATTAATACATAGATTCTTTGTCAACTGAAATGGAAGTGCACACATCTATCTATCCGGCCATCCTTCAGGCCTGCCCTTTTCTCTCTCGATGTCTGAGGTAAAGAAGTGCACTGCACTCACTGTAGGGAGTGGACACGGTCAGTGTTGGGTCCCACCTGTCTGGGAAGGTACAATCCAAACCAAGATCAGACCACACAAAGAAGATCCTGGAACAGCAAAATGATGGGCTGTGAATCCACATATAAACTGTAACACCATCAAAGATACAAAGCCCAGCCGCGGGGGGACAGAAGGAAACCTGTCCCTGCCATCTCAGTTTGGGCGGAGTTATAACCGGATTCTTCTCTCACATCGTGCATTTTGCCTGGGAAAATACTTTAATCCAGCCGAACAGTGATGGTGCACGGCTTTAACCCCAGCAGAGGCAGGTAAATCACCGAGTTCATGGCCATCCTGGGCTACAGAGTGAGTTCTAGGAGAGCCACGACTGCACGGAGAAACCCTGTCTCAAAAAAAAAAAAAAAGATTTTAATCTAACCTCGGTAAATCATGATGGATTAAAATGAATATAAAATATCTTATATTTAGATACCATAATCTTGGTATTGTAGTTCTTATCCTTCGCAGCACATAAGACAGACATAAGTAACAATTTAGCCCTCTATCAAATGTGAGTATATTAATTTTTTCTTTTATATTTCTAACAGGATATTTATTACTAGGATTTTCCTAAATCTCAAACAGTTTCTTTAAAAGTTATCAGACTCGTTTTTGGGAAAAAGGCACAGCAAGAATCCGATTTTCTCAGATCATACTGGATAAGAGGCTACGTCATACATAGTGTTTAAAATTAACTCTTCAGGAATAAAGTGAGTATATCGATTTGATCTATCTGCACAGTTACCAGGTGGCTGCTCATCTCACAGCGTAGAAAAATCTTGCGCCTTATGTGGGTTCAAATTTGTTACTAGAGTTCCCTTAATGTTTCTTACTTAAGTATTTCAAAAATGTTTGTATGAAGTAAGTTCCCAAACCACATTATGTGTGATGTCATAAAACTTAAATGTACACTAGAGCTACCCTGTAGACTTATTAAGAAATCATCTCATCTATGGGCACTAACTTATAGCACAAAAAAAAAAGCATTATCATATCCTTTTAATGATGAACCTTAGTTCTGAAAATGTTTGAAATTTAACTAGGCCTTCAAATTTAATAAATGTTCTGTAATATGTTTCTAACAAACTTTTCTTTTGTGTGAATGGAATGGCAATTTCTTAAAATTACTACAAAATACTCAAAATGGAGTATGCCTTTTGGTTGTCAGGCAATCGAGGGCTTTTCTATAATTTGTTAATGTTGTGTTTGTGTGAAACCATCTCATTTTTGTGAAGTGTGCCGCACACAGCCACACTGTTCCATTGACTGAACTTCATTCAGTTAAGCGATGGCATTATTGTTGTTTGAGACAGGGTCTCACTTTGCAGCCCAGGCTGGCCTCAAACTCCAATCCCTCTGTCTCCATTTGCAGAGTGCCAGGATTGCTGGCCAGCATCACCATGTGCAGATAGCTGATAACTGTGATTTTACTTTTCAGGTTTTTTTTTTAATGTTTCTGTATGTGCACTGTGAAGAGAGGGGACATGAGTGAGTGTGAGCACAGGTGCCTGAGGCCCCTCCAGAGCTGGTGTTACAGATGGTTGGAACTGTGAGTTGTCTGATACGAGTGCTGGTCCCCTGGAAGAGCAGTTCTCACTTTTAACTGCTGAGCCATCTCTCCAGACCAGCAATAACTTTCAAATAGATGTACTTCGTGCATTGTTTCATGCATTGCTGTGGCTGCTGCTGTCTTACAGGCAGCAGGTAAGGGAAGAAAGGGATTTTCCATGAAAATGAATTAGTTGAATAATTATTTAAGGCTGTGGCCTTGACTTTTATTAAAGAACCATGTACTTTTTTTTTTGTCTTTCCTTCAAAACTGACATGCTCTCCTTTTCCTTTTCTTTATATTTGAAGATATGTATGACAATATTCCCTTAGAATGTGAGGGTGGAAAAACTATCTCCCCTGCCAAAAAAAAAATGTCACAAGTCTTTTGACCCATGGACTGCTTTTGCTACTATTACACAAAATTTTTTTAAAAAAAAATTTTTTTGGTTTTTCAAGACAGGATTTCTCTGTGAAACAGTCCAAGCTGCCCTGGAACTCACTTTATAAACCAAGCTAGCCTCAAACTTGCAGAGATCCACCTGTCTCTACCTCCTGAGTGCTGGGATTAAAGGTGTGTGCCACCACCACTAGGCTCAAAATTATTTTTTTGTGAAAGGAAATACCTACATTATCTTATACTGGTAGTTAAATTTCTGCACCTCATTAAATTTTATATTCAATCTCAGAATCTCATAAATTATTATAAAAAGATTGTGGTGTATACCTTCACTCTTGATTACCTTGACACTTCTACAGATAATGAAAGGGGAAAATTAATAAAAGTCTAAAATCCAGACTCCAAAGCCCAAAAAGAAAACTCTGAGTTCCCAAAAGGTGGCTCAGCAGACAAGGTTAAACAAAGGTCCACAGGACTCAAGCTCTTAGACCAGATATCACACCTAGAATGGTGTCCACATTCCTCTGGTTCAAAGAGGATCAATTGTAGAAGTCCTCAGCTCAGGAGACAATTAACAAACTCATTTCCTCTGCAGCATCCTGCTTAATTGTACCTTTCCTGAAGCATACAACCATTGCCCTGTCCTGTGTAACCACGGAAGTTCTGTAATCTTGGGGCTTCCAGCCCTACAATTTTGCCCTATAAAAACACCCCTCAGTTGCAAGTGGGTACTCCATTTGTTCCCGAATGAATAGGGTCCTTGCTGCAGCTCATATCCCCGAGTCAATAAAGAAACCTTTGTCCTTGCATTCGGTGAGTCGTCTCCTTGTTGGCAGGTTCTTTTGGGGTTCCTAAATCTGGGCACAACAATATATTTACATTTTAAATGCGATTTTCCTACCACCTTCTTTTTCTTTAGCATATAAAGTAATGGGGTTTTTTTATGGCACTTTACACATATTACAGGTTGTAGGGCACATGAGCCAGTCAAAGATGGCACTGAGGGGAAGTCAGATGGGCTGAGTTGTTTACAAAAAGATTGTCTAGATTGAACCAGATGAGGTCACTGCATGAACAGCTCATGTTCACTAGGTAAAGCATAGGGGGCCTAGGCGCCTGAGAGGCTGACCTTTAAAACTATTGGCTGGCTGGCGTTTCCCCCCCTCCCTTGCTGTGGGACAATAAATGAGTTCCTGCTTGACTAGACTCCCTGCTGTCTCTGTCTCTGGGATTCTGGGAGGCTGGGGAACTGGCAAGCAGCACACTTACTCTTCCTCAGACCCAACTCAACCTTCCTTGGTTGGGCTAAGACCCTGTGTCAGGTTTCTTTTTCATTTCAGGAATATTGAAGATAATACACATACACGAATAAACTTTGTCATGCCTGATCCTCTGATATGCTAGTTTCTAATGGTATCTTTCAGAAGCCAGAAGAGTAGGATAAATAAATTATCTAGAAGAGGAAAAAGCAGTGAACATAGTACTTGAAGGCATTAAGTGACTTCTCGTGTCAAGACAAAAACAAAGCTTTTGTCAGCGATATTTTTAACCTAAAGAGTTGAATTTTAAAACAGTAATTTTAAAACGTCTCAATTAGAGACGTTACCAACATTTAAGAACTGTATTTTATAGAAGCAGATAGCAAGGCCATCATACACAAATAGCTAACAGCTCAGAAGTGAGCTGCTTGCTGTCATGAACAGACTCTGTGGGAACTGATGAAAGATCCCCGGAGGCACAGGCCCCCAGAATCTCGGCCCAGGACCTCGGGGACCCCAATCACCAGGTGGAGGCGAAAACTTGATGCAAACAGCACGAGGCTTTATTGCAGTTGTTTAAAGAGCTAACCCCATGTTATCTCAGGTCTTTCATCCACCCACCATGGTGGATGACTGGGAAAGTCGCTGCAAAGCGTCTGCATAGAGATCTTATAGGGCAGCATAAGGGGAGTGTCTAGGGGGACGCATAGGCTCAGGATTGGTGTGCCTCCAGGCTTGGAGGACTTGCCCTGTGTTGATTGGTCAACTGGTTGTTATGGCCCATAGGACCTCCCAGGGCAGTTGCTTTGCTCTGCACATCATTACTGTGCACTTGTCTGTAAAGCACACCCAGAGCTGTAAGCATAGCACCACCAGCTAACTTCTGATTGGTTCCTTGCCACAAGGCAGGCATCTGACCTCCTAGTGACCAAGGCAAGTTCAGGCAAGCACATGTTACTGTCACGGCTGCCGAAATGGGGATTTGGTCCCTTCATTGACCTGTATGCTGTGATCAAGCATAGAACCAGCCTGGGCCTGCTTGTACCACCAAATCTTATAACTGCCTTTTAATAAACACATTTCAGTTATAAATCCACTGGAGTGCCATGTGAATTGATCATCAGATACCTTGGTATGTGACATATTTTTGATCAGCATTCATTTCTGTTACAATTCATGGAATGGAAACAAGTTCACTTTCCATCTTTTCTTTATTGATTTCTAATTGTATTGCCATTAGGATGAGCTTATCCATGTGGTAATATCTGAGGACTATTGTGAATTCCATTGTTCTGTAACTCAGATAAGAATGTGTGCTCCCTGAACTTGCCCTTTCAAACATTGCATTCACTTGTTTCTGTGGATGTTTATTTTGTAAATTAAAAATGCTTTTTTTTTAAATTTTTGGTTTTTCAAGACCAAATGAACCAGATGAGGTCACTTCATGAACAGCTCTGTGTAGCCCTGGCTATCCTGGAACTCACTATGTAGACTAGAATGGCTTCGAACTCATAGAGATCTGCCTGCCTCTGCCTCCAGAGTGCTGGGGTTAAAGGCATAGGCCACCACAGCCCAGCAAAAATGCCTTTTTAAAGTATTTTGAATTGCTGGATACAGAGTTCTCTAATATTTAAGTCTTTTCAGTCCTCACAAATTTTTGCGTACATCAGTTTCTTATAGGCATCTTTTTGTTTGTTTGTTTGGTTGGTTGGTTGGTTGGTTGGTTGGTTGGTTTTGTTTTTTGAGACAGGGTTTCTCAGTGTAACTTTGAAGCCTTTCCTGGAACTCGAATGTTAATCACACAGGTGTCTCCTCAGTAGGGGAGAGAAAACCAAATACCTGCATTTCATCCAAAAAGCTGAGAATGGATATTGTTAACGACCTGGTGACATTTGTGCTCTCTGAAGAGATAGACCTCAACTTAATTCCCCAGAAAGATTGATTGCTCCAGACTCTTCCCTCCTACTGCTTCTCTATGAGTACAAGACCCTCGTGCCCTTACATCTCTCCAATTCTCAGTTTTTAAGGAAAAATTAGTAGCCATGATAGAGGCCATGGCAGAATGCATTGTCTCTGTGGCTTATCTAATTAATATAGGCAAGTATAAGAAAATTATAAGACCATCCAAAGGAGATAACCCAAGAAGGAATGTAAGTTGATAACTTGAGACTTTAGAGTAACAACAGTTAACCCCAAAATGATACTTATGTTTAATGACTGTGTTGCATGTTAATTCTCGTCCATGCAGAACCCAAATGCCTCTTGTCAGGGGGGATAAAAGACACACCTGTGGCAGGAGATACATGATATTGTTTTGCCATGCTAAGGATTGTTTATAAAGTTTATGTGGAATAGGCCATATTACATCCATTTTGCTCAGAGCAAAAGTATTAGCAGAAATTAAGAGATGGATGAATTGAAGATGGCTTTCCCCTTTCCTGGGTTGTCTCCAGACAACAATTACTGTTGTCTGGAGAACCTTTCCCAAATTCTATTGTGTTCAAATATGCCTACAGTGAACTGCCTGGCATTAGACTCCCTGAAATCTGATCCAGGCTGATGAAATCATCTGCACCAGGTTTTCATTCTCATCTCTGTGTGGTTTGATTTCTTGTATGATACATGCCAGGACCCCCTCACAAATCTGCAACACATGGACCTTTAGGGGAACATTCCAGATTTAAGCTTTAGCAGAGTCTAGCAGTGTAGAAATATTTGCATATGAACAGTGATAATAAATGTCTCTTCATTCTTGGGTAGAGGAGCAGAGACCCCTGCATTAATATGGGTGTAGAAACTGTCATGAAATTGTATACTTAAAGACCTCCCACTCTGTGACAGAAGTATGACAAATAATGGATGCTCAAATCTGGACAGCTGTTTTTCCTGAGAACATGATTTTTGTTTTTCAAATATTTTAAAAATACAATTGGCATCCATTTATAGATGCTTTGTTGATTTTAGTAGCCACTTCTGCCATTTAATGAGGAAGTCATTTGTATGAGTTGTTTTATTTTGCTGATTTTAGGTTTTTCTCTATAAGCACAGATAAAATGTGCAATTTTTTTAAAAAAAAGATACAGCTCATCAAAATGGAGGCCAGACATATAGCTTAAGCCAGACAGCTTTATAGGAAAACAGGAAAAATTGGTGGAAAGTAAAAAGCACAAAGCACCACTATCAGGTGACCACATGATCACATAAGTGAATTAAATCCAATATATATTTCTTCCACAAGGAAGGCAAAGTTTTAAGAACCCAAATAGTTATAGCCCACTATTTCTAAATTGTTTCAGATCATAGTAAATTTCTAAATTATTTAATGGTGTAAATGTTATATCTAGTCTGGATAATGATCATACACACACACACACACACACACACACACACACACACACACAAACACACACACACACACACAGACAAATGCTAACTGGTTCAAAGTTCCTCAGTGCGATATTAGCTATCCACATACACCAAAACCACAGCAAACTGTGTCCTGTTATTACGTCCAGGGTGTAGGAACCCCAAGGACCTGTTAGGAAACTTGTTGTTGCATTGAATGATCAGGTTTTTAAAACTTTTTTTTTTTTTTTTGGTTTTTCGAGACAGGGTTTCTCTGTGGCTTTGGAGGCTCTCCTGGCACTCGCTCTGGAGACCAGGCTGGTCTCGAGTTCACAGAGATCTGCCTGCCTCTGCCTCCCGAGTGCTGGGATTAAAGGCGTGCGCCACCAACGCCCAGGCTCTAAAACATTGTTTTATAGATGATTGTTTGTTTTATAAAAGATTGTTTCATAGAAGCTGGAAAGATATCTGAAAAACTTCAACATGTCTTCCATACAAAGGTGAAAGAGGCTGGAGATGGAGCTCAGGGGCAGAACCTCATAGAAAGTTCATGACCCTGGAGGGAAAAAAGGAGATGTTTCAGTGCAGAGGTGCATTGGTACTTCTTTGACACATACTTCCTCCACTACACTGCCTGTAAGAATACAAGACAACTCGACTAACAGAACTGATTTAGTACTCTATGAGACGGCTACATGGTGCTTAAAGAGCAGTGAGATAGTGTTCACCACCACCCAAAAGGCTCAGAATAAAGACTCACCACGGTCGACAGTGTTGGGACAACAACAACTCTTGCATATTGTAACAATTGCCACATTGTAACAAGCAGCTAAGCACCTTCCTAAACAGGTACCCAGCATCTTTACCTATTCTGCTCATAGCTACTAAAGAGGAGACTTGTCTAGGAATGCCGGCAATGTCTTTATTCACAATAGTTCTCAACTGGAAGCTATCTAAACATCCATTTAAAGTAGATTTGTAAACAGCTGTGCTTCAGTAAGTACAGCAGTAAGGAGGTGCAAACACTGAATCCAGACACCCAGATGAATCTCAGTCATGCTGGCTGGCGGGGGAGGAGATGGGGGGGGGGAGTGCTGTTTAAGTTCTATTTCTATCAGATTCCACAAGAAGTCTGTGGTTGCTAGGGATGATGTCATGAAAGCTTTTGGAAGTGACATGTTCCTTTATTTGTTGTGTTCCTTGGGTGTTTGCATATCCCCAAAGTCAATAAGTTGTACACAAAACATACTCCAAAGAACCAATTAAAAAATGATAGGATCATGTCCAAAGAGAAGCAGGAATGACTTGGAGAAACCTCCTTCCGTTAAACCTAGGCCAATTGGGTACTGCAGTAACTGAATAAAACACAGAATCTATAGGCTCCAAAGTTACACAGAGAAACCCTGTCTCAATCTGGGTTGGGGGGGAGACGGACGGACAGACATCTGTGAATCTATGCTTAGGTAGAATGGATTCATGGGTGGAGACGTGTAATTTTTTTTTAAATATAATGTTGCTTGTGCCTAATAAAGAATGGGTTAGAATTACTGTATTGAAACCACAGCAAAATTAATTCAAGCAAAACTGATTGAGACATTCTAAGTCAAGGGGGCAGAATGAGCACAGACGGACAGAAACTGGACATTTACACAGACTCTAAGTTGGTCACACAAATTAATACTGTATACAAACAACACACAGAATTGGAAGCATACAGAAGGGAAAGAATCAGTTAACACTTTCAAGGAGTGTTTAAGATTAATAAATTATGTGTCTTCGGAAAATTATTAATATTGCCAGAATTAAAAATATATAGTTTCATTTATAATATTAACATTTAACATGTCACATTTGAAATAGGAAGCTTCCTGACTGGTAATCATGAGCATTCAGCTTTTAAAATATAGAAATATAGAAAAAATATCCACCATATGAAATTTGGCACGCCTATCTTGACAATCTTCTAAAACAGTGATTGAGATAAAATTCGGGGAACAAGGGATGTGGCTCAACTGATACAGAGTTTGCCTAGCACACACAAGCATTAACAACAGTGCCGCGGTCCATAGGTCAGAAAGTAAAGGAAAGAGGATTAGAAATTTATGGTCATCATTGGCTACACAACTAGTTTGAGGTCAGACTGGACTAGATAAGACCCCCCTGTCACAGAACAAAACAACCACAAAGAAAAAAGGAAAGAAAAAGAAAACTAAACTAACTTAGATCCGTCCATCCATCCCACCCCATGCATCCAGGAACCAATTAAGGCGCGACACGTAGAACCGGACAGTCAGCAGAGCCGGCAGCTTGCGCTACAGAGAGCTACTGACGTTGGGAGCACTGCATCCCCAGGGTCGCCGCGCGGTCGCTGGGTCCCGGGCGGCGGTTGAGCCGGTGGCTCGCGCACCAGGGCGGCCACAGCATCCTCCGGCGGCCGCTCGCGCATGCGCAGTTAGCAGTGGCTGCTGGGCGGCTGCCGGCGGGATCCGTCTGGGGAGACGCTGGGGACCGAGTAGCGGCCAGTCGGACACCTGAGCTGCTGCTGCCGGACACAAGCCCGCAGGACAGGTGTGTGGACCGCGAGACCGAGGTAAGGAATCGGGTCCGGAGGCCCGGGCCGCACCCTATCCTGAGACTAGAAGGTTCAGCTGGGTGCGGCCAGGTGAGGCTGTGGAGGTTGAGTTCACGGGTGGAGGTGCAGCGAGCTAGACTCCTGGGTGGGCTTTGCCAGCCTCGGGGACAGAGATCAGCACTGGGTGGAGGGAGTCCCTTGGGTCCTCCACCTGCTGCGTTGACGCTGGGGAAGGCCGGGTGCCCTTCTCATCCTGGAGACCCTGGAGTCCGTTATTCCTGCGGTTGCCACTGTGGCCCCGTTCCACGGAGCCCTGGCCACACTCCCAGGGGAGTTCTTCTCACCTTTCTGGAAAACGCAAACAAAACCAACTTGGGCTCCTCATAAGCAGCCCATGCAATCCGTCTCTGCGAAGCCAAAAGGACTCTCGCCCTCCTCCACCATCACTCGGTGAAGGTAGCCAGAGAGTCCCTGCCACTCCCTAGACACTTGGGTGGAGCCCAGAGGGCGCCACTGGGGAGGGAGCCAAAGTGTGTTGAATTCAGCTAAACCTTAATGACTGGAGACTCATTATCTAGAGCCTGTTTACTATCAGTCGGATACTTTAGTGAACTTAAGTGGCATCTGCCCCACCCAGGAGGAAGAGGCTCTGCAGGGGTTTGTTGGGGCTAAAAACTAAATAGCTAGGAAGCTGGGAACTGGAGACAGAAGGTATAAACAGAAACAAACAAACTAGGCAAAATAACACAGTCAGTGGAAAGGCATTGTGAAACATGATCAATTTATGTTGAAATTTTCTGATGCGGGGAATGGTAAATCGTGTTTTTGCTGGTTGGCTGACTTGCTGCCCTGATATTTTTACATCTCTCTAGGCAGCCCACTTTTAGGTAATTGTAATTTTGATGACTTTCTAGTCTACATTTTGTTGGTGTGGTCATCTAGTTACGTTGACCGTGTCTCCTAAACTCTTAGAACAAATAGTCTTCTTTTCTCCTGTTTTTCTAGTTGTTCAGGATGGTTTATTGTGTGTAAATAGTGGCACATGTTGATGGATATACTGGCACTGATGGGTGCTGTAAATTAGTGCGGGGGGGGGGGGGGGGGGGGGGGGGGGAAGAGTATGTTTGCAGCAATGACGTCTGATACCTCAGTTGCTTTAGACCTGAACACAGGCAAAAGTCCTCAGCTATCAGAGGGCTAAGCATGGGTGTGTTAAAGATGAAAGTACTGGGGTTGGGGAGATGGCTCAGCAGCTAAGAACACAAGCTGCTTTTGCAGAGGTCCTGTATTCAGTTCCCAGCACCCACATCAGATACTCACAACTTCCTGTAATTCTAGTTCCAGGGCATTGATGTCCTTTTGTGGCCTTTAAAAATATGTACGGTGAATACTCAGAATGAAAGAGCGAGTCTTGGAAGAAGCAGTCTATGATAAGAACTGCTGAAAATGTTTTAAGTAGGGTCCAAGTTAAGAGCTGTTGTTAGAAACACCAGGCTTGCAAGAAGGGAGGGGTTGGTTGTGAAGGTTAACCAGAGTGGAAATGTCACAGTGACTAGTAATATGTGTCAGGAAGGTCTTGTCCCTGATGAAGGCTGAGGAATGAAAATGTGTTCATTCCACAAAAGCCCTCCTAATGAGTTTAGTTACCAGAGACCCCAGGGGACCAGTAGCTCTGTCTAGCTGTGTTTTGTTTGCTGGTGGTGAGTCCAGGGCCTTGGGCATGCCAGGCTAGTGCTAAGGCACTGTACTTGTTCCCAGCCCAAGTCCATACACTTAGGAACACTGCAGTTGACTTAGAGGTGATGTTAAGAGAAAGGGAAATAAACCTGGCATAGTAGTTACACCTCTAATCCCAGCACTTGGGAAGCAGAAGCAGGTGCATCTCTGTGGTTTCAAGGCCAGCCTGGTTGACATAGTAAGTTCCAGGACAGCCAGGGCTACATAGAGAAACCCTGTCTCAAAATTCAAAAGTAAAAATTCTATTTATTTATGGGTGGGGTGGTCAAACCCTATGGAACTCATGTGGAGGTCAGAGGACAACTTTTGGGTTTCAGTTCTCGCTGATGTGGGTCCTGGGGATTCACCTAGGTCCTCAGGCTGTCTTGATGGGCACAATAAGCATATTTCAATTCAGAAGAAAGAGCAAATTCAAATTAAGGAAGGTGTTGGATTATCTTTTAGAGTAAATAATTCTTCAAAACTGAAGAGTGACCTCTGAACTGTAAGTTCTGGAAATCCTCAGATAGCTTCTATAGCTTCTATAAGCTATAGAAGATAACACAGTATGGCAGTGTGTGCTTGTAATCCCAGTGCTGGGGAGGCAGAGACAGCCCCTCGATCCCTGGGAACAGCCATTATGGGAAATACTGTGGAGGCTTTTCAGAAATTAAAAACAGAATTGTTATACGATCAAGTGATGAGTATAACCCCTTTATTAATTCTCTTGTTGCCAAGACATAATGCTGGATAAAAGCAGCTTAAGGAGAGAAGGCTTATTCTGGCTTACACTCTGAGGGGACACAGTCCATGTGACTGGGAAGGCACAGGCATGGCAGAAGGAAGAGCAGTCTGCGGTCAGGTAGCAGAGAAAAGAATGCTTTTGCTCAGCTCACTACCTCCTTTTCCTTCAGTCCAGGACCCCAGCCCAAGGTAGAGCTGTCTTCATACCCTGATTAACACAAGCCCCAAACCCCTGTGAACAGGCCTGCCCAGAAGCTTTCTCTGGGTGATTCTAGATTATGTCAAGTTGACAATATTAACCATCCAGGAATTTAAACTGAAAATTCATGTTGAAAGAGAAAACATGGTTATAAAATTATATTGCTATTCTTTTAAAAGTTTTTACATTTGTGTGTGTGTGTGTGTGTGTGTGTGTGTGTGTGTCTGTCTGTGTGTGTGTGTGTCTGTCCATAAAGATGGCAGTACTTGAATATAGAAAGCGCCTATTAAGGTAAATTTCTGTTTAGTGGTTTTAAAAATGTTCATTTTTAAAGTAAACACTAGAGTGGCAGCCAGTAACATTTAGAAGAAATCAAGGTTTTCTGGCCCAGACATTCATCTAAAGTTTTGATCTGAAAAGGGGTTGTGTCCATTGAAATAGGTATAACAATGCATTTTGTGATGTTTTATAACCATTTTAATGATATAATTTGTGTACTATCAAGTTGAACTGCTTAATTGTGTAATTATATTTATAGGGTTGGGTAACCATTACCAAATTCCAATATTAGACTTTCATTCCCCTAAATGCCCACTAGCTGCCCCCCTAATCCTGATCTAGTTGGTGTCTCAGCTATTGTCCAGTTCTTGTTTTCTCAGGTTTTCTTGTTTCTCTACATGAAATGGTACATCTACAATTTTCCCTAACTGGCTTTTCCAGATTTTCTAGAGCAATGGTTTTGTGTTCATGCATTCTTGTATGAGATCCTGTCTCTCTGTTACTAGATGCTTTTCCATGGTGTGAGCACTTCAGTTGACATCTGTCTGTACACTCCTCTCCAGCTGACATCTGTCTGTACACTCCTCTCCAGCTGACATCTGTCTGTACACTCCTCTTCAGATGACATCTGTCTGTACACCCCTCTTCAGATGACTGCTGTCTGTACACCCCTCTTCAGATGACAGCTGTCTGTACACTCATGAGTTGATGGACACTTGATTCAGTCTACATTTGAGTTGATACAAGAAATGGGTTCTATGGATTATATCTAAGCATGTGTGAGGATATAAGTTTTGGTTTTATTTTGGCTATCTTTAAGTGGGATCACTGGGCCATGTTGAAATTTGCCACATTATTCCCCACCTCTGTTGGTATGTGTGAGGATTCCAGTTTCTCCAGTCTCTGTGGTTTTCAATGGTCATTTTTGATCACAGCAATGCTGGTGACTGTAGTACCATCTCTATCAGCCCCATCTTTCTTAAGTGGGCCCATATGTGTCCATAGCTCTATCTATTATCTGAGAAGCTTTACAGTTCTAAGAATCTACTTTAAAAAATGTTCCCATGTTGATGTTAGCTTTGGGGAAAGAGTAGCATACATGATGATGATGTGTTATTGTATGGCCACTCTTGAATCAATGATACTGAACTGTTTCAGTGCCCAACACTACTTGAAAGTCTGTTGGCACCATGGGAGACATCTTGAATTAATATATGCTAATGAAGTAGGCAAGAAGATATTACATGAATCAATAAGAGGAAGAGAGGTTGGTTGTATTTGGCATTTCTTATAGCACAAGGAACACCAATTATTCAGTGTTTGAAAAGACACGTGGTCAGATAATTGTGTAATGAGCATGGAATTATAGGAACAGTGAGTTTAAAAGAACATGAGCCCCAGGAGACAGCTTTCTACAGCATGGGATTTGATTTGGCAAAACACTATTAAATGTTAAATGTATGATTAAAAATCCCTTAGTTTTGGGTGTTTAGATGTAAGTGGACTCTAGCTTTATAATTATAAAATGTCTAATTTTGTATATACTTAAGCTACATTATTTATTTAAAACAATATAAGTGAAAATTTAGGAATCATGATAGCTTTTTTTTTCCTTTTCAATGAATCAACATTATTTGCATTTATAGACATTGTTGCTGACAGCTTTATATTTTTATACCATTAACTCTTTGGTTTCAGAAGAAGTCTTAGAACTGCACATTTTAAGTTGGTGTTTTATTTGTTCAAGGCTTAATTTAAATAATGTTGCTGGTGATGGAAACATCCAGAGTAAAGGAGAAACTATTTCTCCCTATGGTTCTTACCACATGGCATCCTTGCCTGATTTTTCAATGACTGCTTTAATTCCACAGATAGTCAATATGCATTTCCAAAGTGTTGGACTATGCTTGGGTCTTCTGTTCATCACTGTTAATGCAGAGTTTATGAATGATGGTGTTGATGTGGAAGACTTCAGTGAAAATCCAGAAGAGAGTTCTATTAAAGAAGACGACCCTTCCTCAGGGGTAAGATGGTTGAGAAGTGAATTATAAGCTATTCTTCCATGGTCATAGGAGTGACAGGTCCCTCAAGATAGGTTTCCTTCTCTTCTAAGAGGGTTGGTCTTCTCAGTGCATAGGGAAATGTTGCTTTTTTTTTTTCAGTTGTGTTCTTAGAGCGCCTACAGCAAACATTTGTTTGGACCTATTCCAGTTGTGTTCCATGAGTATGTGGGAAGTTTTTGTTGCCAAAACAGGAGTTCACTGGTTAAAGAAGACCAAGTTCTTTAACAAAGACAAGGACCATTAGTCCTATTTCTGATAATATCAGACTTTTCCAGACAAAATGGAAGGTGCCATAACTTGTGGTTCTTCAAGAAGTAAAGGAAGCAGCTTTTGTTTATTTCTCTGTAGGTAGATAATGCACACAAGGACAATGGATTGGAAAGGGAAGGAGTAACGAGGTGGACTTTAGTTGGGCTGAGCCAGGGCTATGCCTCAGCACTGTCGAAGTGTATGTCCTGAGGTGGTGACTGACGGGAGCCTGGGAACTTAACAGAGATTTTGGTTGATCTATTTTAACCATCCTCTGGAGCCTCCATATTGAATGTATTCCCATATAATACTGTGATAACTAAAAATCATTCATCCTTCTATGCTAGCCTCTGCTTAAAGGGCCCAAGTAACAAACAGGAAGTTCTCACAGATTCCTTTGCTTCATCTCATCTTATTGGGTTTTTAACATGCAAATAAATGTTATTATCGGTTTGCAGTAACTATTTTGCTTCCCCTTTAAATTTTAGTCTCTGCAAAGATATTTCTTTTGAAACTTAGTTCTGTGATTTACAAAGCAATGCTTGACAAACCATCACCTGGGTCAAACATCTATTACAGGGGTCTTTAAAAGTTCACACTTAAAAATTGACATGTGCTCACCACTCATAAGTATATTTGGTGAGATGACAAGAAATTGGAAAAAACACTTAAATTTTCATTACCAGACATCAATTGTACAAAATAACAGGTTTCATTATGACATTACTAAGACATGAGCTTTGCAACCAGAGCCCATGCCAGCCGGGATCTCTACTGCCCATGTGTACTGTGTACTAGGTTCCGAACAATCAGGCTGACTTCAGATATTTGCAAAAATGAGTAACTTTGGCTTAAAAATCTCTTTTCTAGACAATTATATATAAGACACCTCAACCTATAGGAGAAGTATATTTTACAGAAACATTTGACAGTGGAAGGCTGGCTGGGTGAGTACTCCTGCAAGAGCACATTTTCTTCAATTTGATGGGTTTTCTGAAGCTATTAGTCTGTGAGAATTAGCTCTCCTGTGACTGTGGAATAATTTAAAGCTATGAATTTATACAAAGACAGACACAAATTCAGAATGCAAAGGAAGCACATGGCATTTCCTTGCTCTCTGGGGTAGATATTGTGGAGATTCACAAGACAACTGAGTTATGTTCAGCCACAGTGATGGTATGCCTATCTGTAGCAGTTAACACCCGTTGACTAGTATGCTCCAGACCCTCTGCTGGTGGTTCAATATGTACTCCATTCCCTCCACCCCACGGGAGTTTACTCCCACACACATACTCAAGAGCAGATTCCGTGCCTCCTGGGATTGTGCAAAGGCTAGATTTACCAATTAACTTCTTGGCACTAATTCATTTTAAATAAAAACTGATTATGTTGGGTGTCTTTTCGTATTTTTTACATTCATTTTATCTATAAATTGCAAATCTTATTTCAATGGCAGTATCTGTCTTCGCCTTTACTTACAGGTGGGTCTTGTCAAAAGCAAAGAAGGATGACATGGATTCAGAACTTTCCATGTATGATGGTAAAATACTTACTTAAATATTAGATAACAATAACTCATGTTCACTAGCCTTTGAGATTATATTTTTGTTAAATTATGTTGGCCAGAAGGACCAGCCAGCTGTCACAGGGAAATGTTCAATTTTACACCCTGTTCCTCTTCAGTGTTTCAGGGATTGCTGGGTTGAGCCAGTTTTCTGATTCTTAAATTGTAGTTGGACTTTGACCCCAGGGTGTTAGCTTGCACTGCTGTTCTGGGTGATTCACCCCAAGCCTGGGCACTCATAGATCAAGAGCAGAGTTGTTAATGAGCACTATAAGATAGTGGCCACCTCTGCAGCCACAGCCTCAAGCCTTGACCATCATCCATAGGACTCCTGATGGGGCTGCTTCAGGCGTGGCTGTGGAAGTGACTTTCAAGGTCATATTTTCTTCCCTAGAAAGACCACCTTGGGCCGGGTGGTGGTGGAGCACACCTTTAATCCCAGCACTTGGGAGGCAGAGGCAGGCAGATCTCTGTGAGTTCTAGACCATCCTGGTCTATAAGAGCAAGTTCCGGACAGCCTCCAAAACCACAGAGAAACCCTGTCTTGAAAAAGAAAGGAAGGAAGGAAGAAAGAGAGGCTGAACGACCACCTTGGAGAATGACAAAAGAATGTCTCCCTTCTGGTCTAAAAGCGTCATGTAACCTCTGCTGTTGGGAACCAGGAGGGGAACCCCACTGTCTAGGAGTTCCTCACACCGTTAAGCATAAATAAGGCCTAGACCTCAGATTCAGCAGGTGGTCCCTTCGGAGCATGTGCTAGACTTGAGTCGTCAGTGTCCTTCTTACAGCTTCTGTAATTGTGTAAGATGGAGACCATGCCCACCTGTCTCCCTCTATACAGCATGTTTTCAGTCCCAGCAAACAAATTCCTCCTGCCACCATGTGTGTATACTCCACATGAGACCATGTGTGGACCAATCTAAAGCCACTTACAAAATTCTTCCCATCAAAGAAACAATGAGTCCAAGGGATATAATGCTAAAATTGATCTAAATAAGCCTAGTATTGCTAAAAAAAAAACCAGAATGTTTGATTTAAGCAACTGTGTTTAAGCACTTCACAGTTGTTTTTTGTTTTGTTTTGTTTTTTTAAACCAAGTAAAATATTCACTTTAGAAAAATAAAAGATTAGGGTATGCTTTAAGGAAACCTGCAAGCATTTATTTTATTTTTAAGATGGGTCTTGCTATATAGCCCAGGTTTCCCTAAATCATGTCATCCTTCTGCCTTAGCTATCTGAGTGACAATGTGATTACAGGTATGTACAACAATCCCAATAGTGTCTACAAATGACAGACTAAAACTCAAGCTGCTTTGATCATGAGACTTGTGATAGTTTCATTGTTTTTAGAAAGAAAAAAGCAGTCTAGAGCATTAGTGATTTAAATGTGCCTGTAAAATAATTGTGAGTTGAAACATTATAGCAAAATAACCATCTTTTGCTGGATTGAGTTTAGTTAGAACAGACAAACATAATTTTCAAACATATAATTTTGAAATGAACATAAGTTAATTTTTTCCCCTGTTTTAAAAGAGTGATGCCCAGCACAGAACTCTGGGGCTCCAGTTTGCCCACCTGGCTCACAGCCTGTGTAACCCACGGTCTCACCCACTGCAGGAACACAGCCCAGAGCCCTAGCTTGATTTGCTGCTTGCTGGCTTAGTGCTTCTCTGGGGTGTCACTGCTTCCTGGCCCAAAGCTCACCCAGCCACATGGCTTAATAGGGAAGGGTTTGTGTGATGAGATAGTCTTCAAATGCAATTTAAGTACCTACAGAATGCTATGAGAATCCTTGAAGAGTGCATGCATTTCCTAGTAAACTCAGCCCAGGGACAGACTGCCCACTTTGTGTTAAAGATGCACATTGTCTCATACACATTTTTAACGATCTCATTTTAGTTTCATTTTTTTTTTCTCATTTTAAGTGTCTGGACAAGGCAAACTTTGCTCTTGGTCAAGAAGGTGCACTTGGAAGAGCAAACCCACACACAGGAAGTACACTGGCTTTTATATCTCATTTCTTAGAGTCAGCATTGATAGTACTTATGAGATAAACCATATTTTATCATTTATTTTACTGAAAATATGTCAAGAAAACCTAATTGCATCTATTGTAGAAGTGTACCTTCTTCCAAGTTTGGCCTAAGGAAATGAAACCAGTTTCTGAAAAATGACAAGAAAGAGGAAAGGGGGTTGTCAGGGAGGAAAGGGTGAGACAGGAGGGGAGATGAGGGGGGAAAAATGAGAAGGGGAAATGAGGAGTGGGTGGAAAGAGGGGGAAAGGAAGGGGAATACAAAGAGCAGGTACTATTTCCTGATGTATTCTTCAGTTCTCATGGCAAAGATCACTGCTAACAACTGCTGAGCTGTGGTTTTCTGGGTCTTCTGTTTGACTCACTTGTTTTGCTTTCTCATTTAGGAAGATGGGAAATAGAAGAGCTGAAGGAAGACCAGGTCCCCGGCGACCGAGGCCTGGTTCTGAAGTCTAAAGCCAAGCACCACGCAATATCTGCCGTCCTCGAAAAACCCTTTATTTTCTCTGATAAACCTTTGATAGTTCAGTAAGTGTTAAGACTGAAGTGTTAATTTGAATTAGTTTGGTATCATTTGGCATATGAATATGTGTTAGTTTTGGTGCTGTGTACAAAAAAATCCCCACATTTCTCTTTCCAGGTTCTTAGACAAATACACCTATACATAACCACACCCTGGGCCTTGGGGGCAACCAGCTCAGTGGTAAATTCCATGTCACATGTCTTATATGCACAATTCTGTCACCATAAAGTACAGTGAAGCCACTACTTTTATCTTAGTTTTTCTCATTCCTTGCTGATAAGATAGTCACCTCAGGACATTCAGAAAAGAACCACAAATATGGCCAGTTTACAGTTCTGTTCATGCCTAGCCACTCAAAGAAGCAGATTGAGTCTACAAGAACTGTGTCTGCAGGTCAGGGTCATTCAAGCTGGGAGCTCTCTTAAGAGCCCCATGCTGTCAGAGACTTCTCTTCTCCTGCACAGACATGTAAGCCATGTGGCTTGCATGTGTACTGCCCTGAGGTCAAGTATAATTCCCCAGCTTTCTCTCATCTGTAGGGCTGTGAAGCCAAAATGAAGTTCGTAAAATAGAGGCATTTGCATGTGTTACTGGTAAGTTCCATTGTGTCTGGAACTACCGCAGGTTAAAAAGTGTCCTACAGAAATAGCAGTAGTGCCTGCCAGCCCCCAGACTCTCAGTTCTCTGCCAACCCAGTGAACAGCATTCCTTCCTGGGATTAGCCTACTCTAGATGAATCCATTTCAGTGGCTGTTCAATACCAAGTAAAGACAAGGAGGGATTCCCTGTTACCTGGACTAATTAAAATAACATTACAAAAATTTAGTGGGACCAGTATCCACGTGGGTATTATTACTAATTTTAGGATTTGGTCTGATTTTTGTTTTGCTGATAACTTCTTTCCTTTTTCCTTTTTCCTCTCTGTGATATGTGGAGGTGGCAGGGGTCAGGGGCGTTGAGTGCAATTGTATGTGTGTGTGTACATATGGAAGCCAAGCCCAAGGTTAATGGTGTGTGTGTGTGTGTGTGTGTGTGTGTGTGTGTGTGTGCTTGTGCAGGCCTAAGGCTGATGCTTGGAAAATCATCCTTGATGCAATTCTACCTTGTTCACTGAGACAGTTCTCAATCTATATAACATGTCTTCCTAGCCAGCTTGCCTGGTGAATCTCCTGCCTCCACCTTCTGAAACTGGAATTACAGGCTGGCCTCTGTGTTCACCCAGCATTTTACATGGGTTCTAGAGATCTGAACTCTGGTGTCAAGCACTTTAACTACTGAGCCCTCTCCCAGCCCTTCCTTGAGACTTACTATTATTTTCTTAAAAGTTGGGTGTATATAGCATCACTTAATGAATGTACTCTTGGTTTGAAAAGGGTTGGACAGGAAACCAATACAAAACTCATGTAGTGTTTCCCTGGGAGTCACTGATAAGAAAATGATGTCTTGCCAGATAAGAAGCAAACCGAAAAACATCCAAAATTTTCCAAAACAACTGTGAAATGATTGCTTTGAAAAAATAAAGAGGATCAAGAATTGAACAACAGTCAAATGGGCTGAAGTGAAAATATTTTATGTTAAATGCTATAATTGGCACATGGTTTTATGGTGCCTTTTCCAGTTAAGTGCATGTTAATACATGGTGAGCATGCCTAATCTGAAATCTGAAATGCTTTGAAATTTGGAACATTTTCCAACCTTTGTGACTACTCATTCATATAATGACAATTTTGTACTACTTTTTTTGTTCTACATATGTATCCTGTGTGGTGTTTGATATTTTAATGTATGTATTACCATCAGTGTGTAATGAGAGTCACATTTCTGTCTCTTTAAATGCTTATCACATCTTTGTGTTGAGGCCTTTCTTTTGGCACTTTCTAGAACATAGATTATTGTAGTCACCTGCTGTTGCAGAAGGTGCTAGGAAGTCTTCCTCCTTCCTGAGTGTATTTTGGTCCCTGATCTTTATCTTCCCTCTTTTCCTTCCTCTCCCTTTCAATTCCAAACCCCTAATGACTCCTTTTCACTTTTATAAAAATCAATATTTTTACCTTCCAAAAGAAGTGAGACAATGTAGTGTATGTCTTGAGTTTTTTGCTGTAATTATTTTACTTAATGTGATGCTCTATGGCCCCAGCCATGTCGCTGTGAATAAAAGTTTAATCTTTTTAAGCAGCTGAACAGTATTCCATTGGGCATATGGACCACCTCTTTGTTTTTGAAACCTTGGTGGTCACCTCAGTTACTTCTTCATCATGGCAATTGAGGATGATGCTGAGTAAATGTTGGTGTTGGAAGTGCAGGCATCTCATGAACCGGTTATACTTCCCGTGGATATGTTCCCAATATTGGGAGAGCTGATAAATGGCTCATAGTGTAGTTCTGGTTTTCATTTGAGAAATCTACTGCCATTCCTCATAGTGGATGTATTAATTTATAGATGTCCACCATCAATATGTAAGAATTACCTTTTTTGACATCATAAGCAGTTTTTTGTTGTTGTTATTGTTTGTTTGAGGGTGTTTTTTTTTGTTTGTTTTTTGCTTGGTTTGTTGTTTTTTTCTTTTTCTTTTCTTTTTTATTTTTCCCCCGAGACAGGGTTTCTCTGTGTAGCTTTGAGCCTATCCTGGCACTCGCTCTGGAGACCAGGCTGGCCTCGAACTCACAGAGATCCACCTGCCTCTGCCTCTGCCTCCTGGGTGCTGGGATTAAAGGCGTGCGCCACAACGCCCAGCCCTGTTGTTTTTTTCTTTCATTAAAACCATTGCACCTTGGGTAAGGCTTGGTTGTGCTGATTGATGACAGCACATGTCTTCTAACATACTTTGCTCATGTGTATCTTCCTTTGAGGATGTCTGTGTAAATCTATTGTATTTCTTGTTTTTTTGAGACAGGGTTTCTCTGTGTAGCCCTGGTTGGCTACTGTAGACAGACTGGCCTTGAACTCAGAGATCACCTGCCTCTGCCTCCCGAATGCTGCACATATTTCTATTAGTATTTTTGAGATTTTTCTTTCTTTTTGCTGGAGTGTTTCATATAGTCTGAACATTAACCAGTTGTTTCTAATTTTTGCAACTTCCTTTGTGCTGGCATGCGGGTCTCTCCTGGGTCCTTCTGGGGAGAATGTGCACCTGCATCTGCCAGAGGAGGCGCTCTGGCCCTGCTGGTTGACCTGGAATAGTTTAAATCCAGTGATTCTCTGCTTAAATGGTCTGTTCATTGTTGAATGGGGGGGGGTGCAGTTCCCAGCGGTCACTGGATCTCCTTTTAAGTCTAATGGTGTTCGCCTTTCACACATGGGTGCTCCCTTCTCAGGTTCACACCTGCACTAGCAGGGAGTTCATCCTCTTTAACTGACTTTATCTTTATAGTGATTCGTGTCCCCTCACCATTTTTGACAAGTCTATTCTACCTGATTTGAGGAGAGTTGTACTCTTCCACAAATGTTTTTCTGTCACTTCCTGTCTTACCTCTGTGAATCTCTTTATGTGCAGAAAATGGTTGGTTCCTCTTCTTGTATTGTTGGGGTTTGTTGTTTGTTTGTTTTTTTATTTTTTGTGCATTGATGTTTTGCCTGCATATATGACTGTGTGAGGATGTTGGATCCCCTGGAATGGGAGTTACAGACAGGTGTGAGCTGCCATGTGGGTGCTGGGAATTGAACTTGGGACCTCTGGAAGAGCAACCAGTGTTCTTTACCATCTCTCCAGCTCCCTAGTTTTCATTTCTGTGACCTCTGTGAGTTCCCCATCCCATTTATTTTCTGAACCTGTATGGTTTCTCCTACAATATCTGCTTCCTGGCATGGACAAGCTTTTCACTCATGGTTTTATGAACTTCCTCTTCAGATGTTTCAGAATTCAAGTATCACATGTTTCAGACATGGTTTTCTTTGGTTGGATTTTCCCAGAGTCATATGAGCATTCTAGAATTCAGATCAGCTACCTCTACCTGCTTTATGCAGTGGCTTTCATAGTAAATTACTTCCTCCTGGCAATGGATCCCAAGGTGCTGGTTGGGTAGGCCATACCGGCTCTAGCTCCACATGGACATAGTAGTGTGTAGTCAAGTAGCATCTTTGCCTATAAAATCGATGGCTGCAGGTGTCTCAATGACTTAGGTGGCAGTGCTTTGTGAGGTCAGTCTGTCAGCTTGAATGCAGCTCTTTCAGATGGAACATGTTTGTCACTGCTACAGGTAGCTTCCACAGGTTTTTGGTTTTTGGTTTTGTTTTTAGTAGGTGTGGAGATTTGTGCTCATACTGGATGTCAGTGGGACAGCTGGAAGGGTCAAGAAGCAGTTTTGGGCTTTTGCACTTAAGAGTCTGTGCCCAGAGCCCTCTGTGGACAGCTTGGGAAAGAGCCAAGACAGGAGTCGTCCCCAGGCTTGCAAGTTATGCAGAATCACTCACAGTCTTTCTTCCGTCCACCCTTCCTTCCTTCCTTCCTTTTTTTTCCCTCTCTCTTTTCAAATGTGTATACCAATTGGGTTTAAGCTGCCAGGTTGTATATGCTTTTTTATCTTTCATCTTCTCCTTGAAGTCGCTGGGAGACATTTAAAACTATAGCTGCTCATTAAATAATCAGCATTGCATATGGTTTATTTTTTATCTTTTTGTTTCACCTCACAAAACAAAACCTTTTTTCCATATTTTTTTTTTTTTACTGTTTTTCACTTAGCAACTACTTTATGGGTTTTTTTCACATACGAGTCATTAATCTATTGAACACCTAAGCTTTTCCCTTATTATTTTAGCAATACTAGTTCTTTAAAAACAACCTAAAACAAAACAAAAAAATGGCTGAGACTTCCAATATGTTGTAAATCTGTGAGAGACTTAGGTTATTAGCTGTCACACTAGATAGTAGATAGTAGAAGTTTCCCTTCCTCACGGCTATTTGGTGTGAACTAACCCAGGTTATTGAGTAAAAATCTGAAACTTCTTTGGAGAAATTTAATTCAATAAATTCAAACTGTTGAGCATGGTTTGGTGTAGTTGAATTAAAATACAAATTAGTGCTGGGTTCTGAATCTCCAATGTTACCTGTTTCTGAGAAACCTATTGTAGCTCAGAACATACAGAGCATGGAGGCTGGGGATTGGCTCACTCGTAGAGTGCTTCCCCAGCTTGTGTGGGGCCCTGGGTTGCAGTTTTAGTTAAAAATGTCTTTATTCTTACAATAATACTTTGGTTGGGAAAATATGCTTGTCTCTAGTTTTTTGTAATTATTTTTATAAAATTATTTTTAATAATTTTTATAAAATTATTATAATTTAATAATTTTAAATACTTTCATATTTTATCATCATGACTTGAAGTATTAGGTGAGCATTTCTGCTCACTCCCTATAAGTTGTGGATATTCTTTATATGGATGAGCTTGGTAGTAATATAAAGTAATTCTGCTTAGAGGAATTGAGAGTAATTCGTTATACTATACAGAGTAACAACTAACTTATTTTTCAGCAGTGTGGTTCTTTTTCCCTCCATTTAGATATGAAGTAAATTTTCAAGATGGTATTGATTGTGGAGGTGCATACATTAAACTGCTAGCAGACACTGATGATTTGATTCTGGTATGACATTTTAATATCTAAGAACACCTTATTAAAGTCAGTAAGTATTTTAAGGAGTGGTTGACAACAACTGTAAAGTTTATTTTCAATTGAAAAAAGTAACTGTGTCTTTTTCCAACATGAATCTACACGGTCTTTACAGTTTGCCTTCAAGGTTCATAACACGGCTGCATTACCTGATGAAGACAGCAATTCTGTGCTCTTTAGTAGCACAGATAACTGTGCCCGCATGAGGATAGAAGTGACAGGGCTTAGCGATACTGATGAGGGTCAAATTGAAGTTCTTCACAAGTTTGTTCCGAGAAGCACAAAGCAAAAGTGACCTGAAGCCCACATTAAAAACAGGGCTGTTTCAAGTGTTGCCAAACAACAACAACCCCAAGTGTCTTTACAGTGCTGGTAGGAGGTTGGGGACATTTCTTACAGTACCCTGCAAAGAAAAGGTCACAGTGGGAGCTCTGTCCGGAGTCTGGCTATGACAGAAGTAAAGAGACACATTGGGGATTGTTGAGCTGGCTTTGTTGTGGGCAGGCTGTGAGGTGGGCATCAGAGGTTACCCTCGGCACGGCTGGCTTTAGGATCAGGCAAAAGAGATGCCATTTGTAGGACGTAGTTAGTGAAGATCTTGTAGATCTTGTGGGTCTCAGTGGCAGGGTGGCAAAAACGTAATTGCCTTGAATTCCTTTAAGTACTTTGTTGACTCAGTGAATCCCTCAGAGAACCCTTCTAAGGTGGGAACTGCCATCTCCATACTCGAGATGTGATGGCACAGGGATTCAGAGGGCTCAGAAACTCACTCAGCCAAACACGCCTGGTCCCTTGTCAGTGGCAGCATTGGAGCTGCAGTATCTGAGTGCAGAATTAGGTGCCGGAGGACTAGGTCCCACATGGCGTGGAATGGGGAGTTCCTCTCTTCGTTGAGCACATTTTACTAAGGGTCATTTTCTGGTTTCCTTCTCAACAATGGTAATGAGTAGTCACTTAAGTCTAAGGCCACCATCGTGCTTCATTTCCTATAAACTGTTCATATACATTTACATGAAGCCTGAAGCTTTTTCTGATGCTCCTCCTGCACCTTCAGGAGGAAAGTAGCCTGTGCTTTTCTAAAGTAACAACAGATGATTTGAGAGCCAAAGTTTTCACTTTGCCATATCCTTTATTGTCATTTTGTTAATGCCTCAATAAGTTGGCATTTAATGTGGTTTGTGAGCGCCACCCACTGGACAGAGCAGAGTCATGGACCAAGGTGTTACTCTGAACTGACTAGACCGTCTTCTCTCTTTGAAGGAAAACTTTTATGATAAAACATCCTATACTGTCATGTTTGGACCAGACAAGTGTGGAGAAGATTATAAACTTCATTTCATCTTCAGACATAAACATCCCAAAACTGGAGTTTTTGAAGAAAAGCATGCCAAACCTCCAGATGTTGATCTGAAAGAGTTCTTTACAGACAGGAAGACTCACCTCTATACCCTTGGTACACCACTCATTCTTTCCTTCCTTCCTTCCTTCCTTCCTTCCTTCCTTCCTTCCTTCCTTCCTTCCTTGTGCTTGTCAACCATGGAGTTGCTGAGGGCTTGTGCTTTCAGGAGAGAACAAATGTCTCTGCCTTTAAGAAGTTTATCTTTGGGGAGATAGGCTGTGCCAAATAATAACACAAGGAGAAAATAAAGCACCCAATGGGGGCGAGGGGAGTTCAGAAGAGAAATGGAAGTCACATAAACCCAACTTTGTTGATAGGGTTTATGTAGAAAAATGTATGTTTGTAGGAAATACATTTTTAGGGGTAATATATACTGGGTCAGGAACTCTCAAATGGTTCTAAAACAGCTTGAGTTCTTTGTAATATACTTGCAACCCTTTAAGTTTGAGGGTTTTGTTTTAGTATAAGGCAGATTGGGTTATATTCTGTGACTGTAAAGAGGGACACTGTGTGATCAGGAGTCCCCACCAGGGTTAGCTAGTTACTGAGTAGATTTATCTGTGGAAATAATGAAAATTTTTATTATTTAAAAATGAGTTTAAAGCAGAGTTTGTCTTATTTTAGAAAGTATAGTAGCTAGTGATTTCAGCAAGTTTTGATTCAATACACTGGTTTTCCTAGTTAGGAGAAAATTGTATACATAAAGTTCAGGTCATTTTAGTGTTTAGAAGATTATCTTTGCAATGTCTGTCTGACTACTGACTATAAAGTATTAAAAATTGTTTTTTAGTGATGAATCCAGATGATACATTTGAAATATCCATTGATCAGAAAGTTGTGAACCAAGGGAGTTTGCTAGAGGATGTGGTCCCGCCTATCAATCCACCCAGAGAAATTGATGATCCCAGCGATAAGAAGCCAGATGAATGGGATGACAGAGCCAAAATCCCTGACCCCACCGCAGCCAAGCCAGAGGACTGGTAAGCCAAGAGTTGAGCTACTAGCCTGAACTGGCCCAAGATGGGTCAGTGACATTTACAGCCAATGAAACTCTTTTAACAGCATACTGTTTGCTTTGATGATTTAGTATGGAATGTTTTTTCAGAAATGGATGCTGCGTTTCTCTTTTTAATTTAAAATTTTCTTTAATATGTTTGCTTTGTTGCCCTTTTTTCATCATGTGTTCATCTATATGTATCAGTTCTACAGGAAGATCCATGACTGAAACATCAAGTCTTTGCTTCTGATTCCTGACTTGTTCTTCCTCATATGTGTGTGGTGTTCTTTATAGGTGCAGATTGGGTTTTTGTTTGTTTGGTTGGTTGGTTGGTTGTTTTTGTTTGTTTGATCATTTGTTTAATAATGACTTGGCTTTAGGTTGCCTGTCAGCATCTTATAAAGCCTTTGTGGGACTCATGATGTCATCATACTGAAGCATTAGTTATCTTTACTAGCCATGGATTTGTGTTGTTTCCACTGGGGGGGACTGAAGGTTTTCCTTAACTGAAATGCATTCAGTTGATGAGTCCCTACAGGTTGAGGTTGGGTGGTGTGGATGCCAGTGTATCTCTCTTTCTACCAAGCTAGTCTTTGTCCTTCAGATATGTTCTGTGATTTCTACATAGAGACCATGTACTTTTATTCCTACGAGCCATAGTTTTTTTTTTCCTGCTTTCTGCATAACCCTTAATTTGCTACATTGTATTTCTTTTTGTATTTAACCACTGTTAGGTTGTGCTGTAAAACAAATGTCCCCAAACTTACAGGCAAAGATGACACGTCATCACCTCAGTGGGTTGAGGCAGGGATGTGTAGAGGTGGCCTGGAGGAGGGACTCCGACTTCATGGGAATGCTGCCACTTCCTAACCAGCTCAAGTGGCTGACCCCAGGAGGTTTCTACCATTCCCTATCTGGCCTCCCTTTAGGTGTGTTCATAGCATCTTAGATCACACCTCAGAAGTAGTGATCTAAGAAAGGGAGACAGCACTCCTGAAATTGCCATGATATTTTATAACTGGGTCTAGAAATAGCATGCTGACACCTGCTATCCCAGCTGGAAGGAGACATAACCAAGATGTGAATACAAATCCTACGAGTTAAAAAAAAAAAAAAGAAAAAAAAAGAAAAATGTTTTTTGTTTTCTATGAGAGTATAAAATGATTTCACACACTTGTTGAAATGCCTGTCCTCCCCCCATTTTCTTAGTGAATTATAGTGACTGCTTGTCTAATGTTGACTTACAACTCACTCACCTGCTCCACAGTTATTATCTTCTTATGTCTTTTGTTGGGTTCTACTTATGTTTTTTCAGATTCATTAAAGTAAAAATTTTGTGCTGCTAAGGTCATTTGCAGTGCATAGTTCAGTGGGCTCTGACAGACACACAGATGTCAGCAGCATTTCCATCTTCCCAGGAGGACCTCGTGTTCTGCACCCAATGAGGTTTCCGTTTCTGCAGCTTGGCAAAGCACTGTGTAAAATGGACTCATAGAATGTGGCTCCTCCATCTGCCTCCCGAGCCGCCCTGTGTGGGTGCCTTTGTCTGTAGCAGTTGCACTGTGCTGGGACTGCCGTCATTGGTTCACCCATTCACAAATCAATGGAGAACTGCCATATTTTCCAGTTTAGTGTAATCACAAGTAAATGTGTGGTAGACATTTACAGATGATTTTGGATGGACATGAATTTCCCCTACGGAGGGTGAACGCCTAGGAACGGATTTGCTGGATTGCTCAGGAAACGTGTGTGTGGATTGATGCGCCACCTTCCTGAGGCCCGTACTCTTCTGCACCCCACCTCCATGCAAGGTTTTCAGCTGCTTTTCATTTAGAGCATTTTGTCTCCGTTTCCCTTTTCCTTTTGGCCATTCTAAAAGGTTTGCAGTGAAATCCTACTGTTTTAACTCACATCTCCCTACTCTCACTTAGCATCTGGTCTTTTTACTACCATTGAATCACTTCCTTGCTGAAATATCATTTTAACTTTGGCAAATATTTTAGAAATTTCTTATTACTTTATTTTGTGTGCTTGTGTGTATGTGTGTACCAGTCCCACAATGCCTGTGTGAAAGTCAGGACATCCCGAGGTATTCACTTCTCTCCTTCCATCATGCAGATCTTAGGGTTTGAATTCAGGCCATCGTGTTTGGCAGCAACCACCTTTACCCACTGAGCCATCTTTCTGACCTTAAAGTGGGTTTCTTACAGGCAATATGTACTTTGTTCTTTCTTCTCTGCTTCCAGTGAGTTCTCCCAGCTGTTATATGTCTGAAAATGTGTTTATATCAACATAGTTTTTGAAGGATATTTTCCCTAACAGCTAAGCACTGCCGGGCAGCTTTCTCTGAGAAGGCACCCTTTTCCTTGAGGCTTTCAATTTATAATGGTGGGCCAATGAGCCCTGCCTAGTGTGCCATTTATTTTCAGTTTTAAAGTATTTTCCCACGTTACCAGTTTTCAACTATTTGGTTTTACTGTATTCTAATATGGATTTCTTTTTCCTCATGATTGTATTCCTCACAGTTCTTTGTGCTTCTTAGATTGTGGATATGCTATTGATATGGTGTGTAGATTGTGTCGTTGGTGTGGTGTGTAGACTGTGCCGTTGGTGTGGTGTGTAGACTGTGCCGTTGGTGTGGTGTGTAGACTGTGCCGTTGGTGTGGTGTGTAGACTGTGCCGTTGGTGTGGTGTGTAGACTGTGCCGTTGGTGTGGTGTGTAGACTGTGCCGTTGGCCGTTGGTGTGGTGTGTAGAGCCGTTGGTGTGGTGTGTAGACTGTGCCGTTGGTGTGGTGTGTAGACTGTGCCGTTGGTGTGGTGTGTAGATTATGTCACTACTTCATTGAGAACCTGGCAGCTTCATATGTGTCTATGTCAATGCTTGCTATTGTCTCACTGTTTTTTTCTTTGTCTTTATGTGAAAAGTCATTCCCATTTTCTCCAGTCCCTTGTTTGTAAACATTGGTGTGGCCACTTGTCCAGAACACTGGGGTCTTGTTCTTAAGAAAAGCCAACAGATCAACTCCTGCTGATTTAGAGAGATACTGACTGGTGGGGATGCCTCTCCTCTCAGGCAAACTGCTTTACAGAGGGCAGTAGCAGCAGCCTGCTTTAAAGGAATCATGTGATGTGTCTGTCCTGTCAGAAACGGCAATTGGCTTCCATGCAAACCCACTCTGCTTCAGATTGGTAGACCCAGGAAGAGGAAGTTGCCCTCCAAGTCCAGATGCTGTAGATAAGCTTCATGTCTGGTGAGATTTGTTGATTGGTGCTAGGAGATGCTGAAAGAAAGGCTGTGTGTATTCAGAGCCTGGTTCTGATGTCAGGTCCCCAAGTCTGTGCATTAGAGGAATTAGGTTTAGTCTGGTTTGCACTTGAGGTTCACGTGGGAAGGCATGAATGAGTTAGGATGTCAAGACGTCCACTTTCCACAGAGGTGATGTCTTAGCCGTTCTCCTCCTCACCACGCTCAGGCTCCTCAGGGCTTTCTTCCTAAGTCCCTGTAACTTCTTAAATTAAAATACTAGAATTAAGTGTGGAGAGTTATATTTTCTAAATGGAGTAGGAAGACATAAATTAGAAAAATCATAAAATGTTAATAAATTCAGCTGCTTGAAAAACATATGATTTGCATATGGCAAAAGGAACAACAGCAGACATGTGTTAAAGGTCAGGCATCATGTTAGGAACCTGTAGCTCAGCACTGGAAAAATGTGAGCAGGTGTGTCAGGGTGTCATAACCCTGGCTACATAGAAAATAAATAAATAGGTAGATAGCTAAATAAAAGTAGTCATGTATTTAAAAACACATGAGGCTGGTGAGATTGCTCACCGGGTTAGGGTGCCTGCCAGTGGACCTAATGGATGGCCAGAGTTCTATCCCTGGAGCCCACATGGAAGAAAGAGCCAGCTTCTGCAAGTTGTCCTCTGACCTCCCATGTGCTGTGGCTAAGAGCACATTCACATACATATGCATATGCTCACACACAGGGAAATAAATAATAAATAAATGGGAATCTTTCAAACCCTGAGAAAGTAGAAAGTAGAAAGAGTATATTTTTATAGTATATAGCAAGCAAAGGGCTAATTTCTTAATGTAAAAGAAGTAAGCTACCAAAAGAGATACGAATGGTTTGGGTATACACTTGAGCTGCTGTCTGTGCCTAGCTTGGATGGAGATACCTAACTCCTGGCTATTGGGGGGAAGGCCCTTCTGCCTGTGTTCCTCTCAGCAGCTCTCACCTCACTTGAGCTATCACCAGGCTTTCCCACTGAACTCTGCTTCCAGCCTTCTCTGATCTTTCTAGTCCGAGGCTCCAGACATCCCCAAGCTACTCCCACATATGCAAAAGTTCCAAAGGCCTCAGAACCACATAGTCAGGGTTGGTCATGGGAATGACCACATTCCTTGGTCCAGTTTCTGTGTTAGATTTCCTTCACTGTGACAGAAAACCCCCAGGAGTCAACATATAAGAAGAAAGACTGGGGCTCAGTTTCAGACATTTCATCCATAGGTACCTGGCTCCGTTGTTGGTGGTTCTGTCGTCAGGACACCTTGGGAAGGGGCATGTTATGAAGCAAAGCTCCCCATATTGTGGCAGCCTGGGAAGAGGAGAATCACTTTATAACAGAATCCCCTACTTGAAATCCATTAGGCTAGGAATCTGAAAATGGATTCATTCATTCATGAAACCAAAGCCCTCATCATCCAGTCTGAATTTGACTACACTGGGGACCAAGCCTTCAACACATAAAATCCAAGCCAAATCAACAGGCATCCAGTACATCATTTTTGCTCTCTGAGTTTGAGTGATAAAAGCAAGATTCATCATGCCATGTATACAATGCAATCATTTATGTTAAAAAAAAAAACAGTGTACACATGTGTGCATGGATCACAAGACCACATATGACAAGTAAATGTGTGTGTGTGTGTGTGTGTGTGTGTGTGTGTGTTGGGGGTATTTGGTGCCCTTAGTAGGCACACAAACCAAATGATAGGACTTACTGCTGCAGAACCTTCTGGACATTTTGACATATGTATTTAAGAACTTCCTAAAACAGTAAATACACTGTAATAATCCATTTACAGGGATGAAAATGAACCTGCCCAAATAGAAGACTCAAGTGCTGTTAAACCTGATGGCTGGCTTGACGATGAACCAAAATTTATCCCCAATCCTAATGCTCAGAAACCTGATGACTGGTAAGCATCCTTCAATTCCAGGAAAGGTGCCAAGTGTATCCTCACTATTTGTGAATTTTATTTTGTCCTGCAAAGACTAGAGGCTAAAATATTACCTCTGCCCCAATTCCTTCAGGAATGATGACATGGATGGAGAATGGGAGGCACCACGCATGCCTAATCCAGCCTGTCAAATTGGATGTGGCGAGTGGAGACCTCCCATGATAGATAACCCAAAATACAAAGGAGTCTGGAAACCGCCAATGATCAATAATCCTAACTACCAGGTAATTATCACTGTCCTGGTTCCACAGTTAGAAGTTTGATTTGTAATTTACGAAGTCAAAGAAAGTCAACTAATTTAGGCTAGGTAAAAAGGAGGGGTCTAGAGGAAGTTCATGGATCTCACTGGGAGGAGAAAGTAGAATAGATTTTTACAGATTGACTGGGGGTGGGTGGGGATGGGAGTTGGGGGATCAGGTTGTGGGGGAGGTGTTGTAGAGGGAGAAAGTTCAGGGAGAGACCACTGGAATCAGGGGAGATTCGGGGGAGGGTTGGAAACCTAGTTCAGTGGAAACTTCCTAGAACGTATGAAAGTGATCCTAATAAGGACTCCTAGTAATGGGGACGTGGAGTCTTAAATGGCCATCTTTTGTGGCCAGGCAAGACTTCCAGTGATGGGACTAAGTTGCATTCAATTGAGGTGTTGGCCAAGGGGAATATGGAAATCCCCAAACAACCCCAACTGTTGCTAAGACAAAGGGTTGCTCTCCAAAACCTGAAGAGGGTGGGGGGCCACTGCTGGAGACCACACCCACACAACTCACTGAACATGGAGAAGTCAAGCTGGTGCCCCCACGGAGCTTCCCCCGCTGTGTTCCAGTCTCTCTGGTCTGAGTGGGGTGGTGTATACTCTGGGTGCTACTGAAAGAGAAACAAAGATACCAAACCCAGCCGTAAAACATTTGACCTACAATCTGTCTTCCTGCAAAATATGCTAGGGCAATGGTGGCACAGAATTGTGGTAGTAGCCAATCAATGTCTGATTTGACTTAAGGCCCACTCCACGAGAAGAAACTCCTACCAGATACTGCTTGGGTAACCAAGAACCAGAGACTAGCTAGCCCAGAGACCTACAGTTAAACCAAACACTACTGGTCTTAAAAAAAAAAAAAAATAGTATCAATGTGAAAATGAGAACATGTAGCAAGCAGGTGGTGGTGGCACACGTCTAATCCCAGCACTTGAGAGGCAGAAAAAGGTGGACCTCTGTGAGTTCTACGCCAGCCTTATCTGTCACATAGTGAGTTTCAGGACATCCAAACAGCCAGGCTATGTAGAGAAACCCTGTTGTCATTTAAGATATTCTTCTTCCCAATAGTCAGTTGATGATTACTTTGGAACAAAGTTCTATTTCAAAAGTAAATGAATGAGTTCTCATGGAGAGAACTTGTATTGTCCATTTCAATAATTAGTGTCTGTGTTTCATGAACTCCTTATTTATTTAACATTGTCAAAATTCTGAATTTTTAGGCTGTCAGACATTTGGGGGTGATCTGGCTTTGCTTTCATTAGTCATTTTAACCCTCTAGTGTGCCTTTGATGTCTCTTGCACTATTCAAATGTGATTATACTAATTCTTCACTGTAGTCTTTCTTCAAAGCGTTTATTACAAAGTGTGTGTGTGTGCGCGCGCGCGCGCGCGTGTGCACACACACACACACACACACACACACACACACACACACACACACACACACACATGCATGAGCTCATGTGAGAGAGAGAGATTGTCCTTCTTCATCTTATTGTTTTGGGGACAGTGCCTATCATTGAACCTGAAGTTTTCTGATTGAAGTAGACTGGCTGCCAGCAAATCCCAGGGTAGCTGTGTCCCCATCTCCTCGGGTCTGGTATGGAGGTCTGTTTTACAGTACCAGCTTTCTAAGTGGTGCCGGAGACTGAACTCAGGCCCTCAGACCTCCCACAGGGGCAAGCACTTTACCCACTGATCCGTCTCCCCAACTCCCTGTCCCTTAGAAACGGTTCTTATGTTCCTTTTTAATTGTTTAATGGCATCACTTTGCCTAAAATCTTGTTCATTTGTTGTTCCTTGCAGGGAATCTGGAGCCCTCAGAAAATCCCTAACCCAGATTATTTTGAGGATGACCACCCATTCCTTCTGACTTCTTTCAGTGCTCTGGGCTTAGAGCTTTGGTCCATGACTCCCAACATCTACTTCGATAATTTTATCATCTGTTCAGAAAAGGAGGTAGCAGATCGCTGGGCTGCAGATGGCTGGGGACTGAAGATAATCGTGGCAAATGCTAATGAGGTATGATAGTGACTATGGGTGGGAGTCATGGGACCCCAGTCCTGGCTGTGGGGTGTGCATAGATGCAATAATTCCTAAATGCCAGGGAGATGGACTAGAGTGAATTTTACAGACAGACTATTCAGCTTTTCTGAAGACTATATAGTGAACTCAGCATGAAGATGCTATGATCTCATTTCATTCATTAAATTATGGTAGCTTTAATGAGTTCCAAAGCCTACTTGTGATTTATAGCAATAAGAAATATTTCTTTGTGTTTTCATGTTGGCAGTGCAAGCCTAAGTTTTAACAATAATCCATATGCATTTCAAATATTTTCATTTAGAGAAATACCAAGAACTCTAAATTCAACATTATTGTTTGTCTCAACTGCAGTGCTGTGCACTCCGGGTTAGCTGGCCTGTGAGCCTCCAGAAACTATCCCCACTTCTCACTGCACTATGGGGCTCTGGGATTATAGATGCAGGCCACATGCAGGCCACTGCACCCAGCACTTTATGTGGGTGCCAGCACTGGACCTGCCAAGCCATTCACCCACCCCATTTACACACTTGATTGTTACACGTAAAGTATGTTGTGGCTCAGATTTTATGTTACTAAAATAAAATTCATGCACAAGGGCCACTTATGAAGTTGTTTATATAGAAAGAAAAAGGAAAAAACAATAGCCCCTGAGTGACTTTATTAGGAAGTTCTTTAAATAACAGAACATATTATCAACATATTATCAAAGGAGTCTTTTTTTCTTTCATTTTTGGTGTGTGTGTGTGTGTGTATTGTGTATGGGGTATGTGTGAGTATAATGTGTATAGGGGGTGTGTAGTGTATATGGAGTGTGGAGTGGGTATGTGTGGTGTGTGTAGTGTGTGTAGTGCGTGTGTGTGGTATGTATTGGGTGTGTGTATGTGTGGAGTGTGTATTGTGTGTGTGTGTGTGTGTGTGTGCGCGTGCATGGTTTAAAAGGTATATAATCTGTATTTCCCAGTGGGAGTTGGTAAGTGTTCTGTGCTGATTTCTCTCGCAGCCCGGTGTACTCAAACAGCTAACGACAGCGGCAGAGGAGCGACCATGGCTCTGGCTCATGTACCTTGTGATGGCTGGGTTGCCCATAGCGTTACTTACTTCATTTTGTTGGCCAAGAAAAGTAAAGGTAAAGAAAATACACTTTTTTCAACTTTGTTTTTCAGACTTGCTTGTTTTCCAGACTCAAACTGTGTAATGAATTCAGTGTAAATGCAGTGAATTCAGTTTCCTGTAAGATTTTCTGAGAGATTGTTATATACCTTCTCAGTGCAAAAAAAAAAAAAAAATGGCAGATAAATGTTACGATGAAGAGGACGAGTGTTGTCCATTTCAATACTTAGTGTCTGTGCACTAAAAAAAATAAAATAAAATAAAAATAGTGCTTTGCTTTTTATTAAAAACAGCTTTTGTTAAACTTCCACAGAAAAAATATGAAGACCTAGGTCCTAAGACAACTGACATAAGTAAACCACAGACCAAGGCGTCTCTGGAACAAGGGGTAGAGGAGGAGAAAGCCCCTGAGAAGCCAGAAGTTTTGGAAGAGGAGAAAAAGCCAAGTGACAGTGATGATGTAGTCATCGCTGAAAAGGGTGAGGCTGTGCTGGTGACTTGTGGTAGTGCTGCCATCCTTCCAGCACTGACTGAGAATGGCCAGCCCTGCCTTGTTCAGTGTCTGGTGTGCACATGTGAACTGCCAAGAACACTGGACTTTGGCAGTGTGGATTATCAGTTTTCTGAGAGGGACAGCCCTGTGAACAGCCAGCCTGTCTACACTGCTGTCCCTAGGCCATAGCCGAGAGTGGAGATGGCCTGCTGTTTACACACAGTTGCTGTGTGGCCAGACATACCCTCATTCCACTGTGACCCCTGCAGCATCACAGGGTTCCCCCAATCTAGGGTGGTGGATGAGTGCATTCCTGGGGTTCCTTACAGGCGCATGTGTGTGCGTGTGTATGTAATGGAGCACATGTAGGAGTCAGAGGACAACTTACATGACTAAGTTCTTTAAAAAGAACATGTGTGTATGTGGTATGTGGGGGGGAGGTGGTGTGAGTGTGTCATGTGTCTAAATTATTTAAGTTGTAAGTTCTCAGAGTATTTGTGACTTACTAGTGCTTTATATTGAAGTTCCTGTCTACTTTAGAGGATATTCACAAATAACTAATTTATAAATATCAAAGGGGTCTTATTTTAGAAGGCAGTTTTCCATTTCCCACTGTCCCTCACTGTGCGTATGTATGTGTGGCAGGAGGGCTGCCGTTTCCTCCAACCTAATTTTTGGTAAAGTGAGTTTTTTTATATAGCTCTCAAGACATGCTCTCTCTCTCTCTCTCTCTCTCTCTCTCTCTCTCTCTCTCTCTCTTTTTCTCTCTCTCTCGTGGTATCCTCCTCCTCTTTGTCCTTGTCATCCCTTTTCCTCTTCTCCTCCCTCTCCCTCCCCACTTACTCCCTGCCTTTTCATAATGACAGTGACAAGTTGGAGATCTGTCTAAAGAGAAACTATAGGAGGATCAGAGAATAAAAAAGGCAAATGGCAATACAGGCTGGAGAAAGAGGTTACCCTAAGTGGGGGTGTGTCACTGAAATGTGGCTACCCAAAAGCTGAGAATTATTTGGACTTTGTATATTATATAACCATACTTTTAGGAACTTGCCCTTTGCTTCAAAAAATTGATTTATTTGTAAGTGTAAAAATAGTATTTGCAATGAGCTAGGTTTTTTTTTCGGTTTTGAAGGTTAGAAGTTGCTTTATTAATTGTGGAGTTTAAATTAATCTCCTTAATTGTTCTTAATACTTTTCAGTAGCAAAATCTTAACTTACAGGGTCTCTGCCTTTAATAAAATCTGTATTCTAGAGGAGGAAGTTGGTGATCTGGAAGAGAAGAGTGAAGAAGAAGGGGAAACCATAGAAGGGCAGGAAGAAGTGAGCAAGATGAGTAAGTCTGCATCAGAGGACGAGGTAAGCCTCAATGCAGGGACACGCTTCCACCATGCGTCCCTCCGTGTCCTTGAGTCAGTCCATGACACTTTCAGACAAACTGATAGAGAAGGCAGAAGACTGCTGTGACTCGTTGTCACCTTGACATCTGATAGAGGAGCACTTCACCTGAGCCACACACAACGTAAAGGTAGACTGCATTGACAAAAATACTCTAGTGGTGAAAATGTACAGAGGTCAACGAGTGTTTGAAATGCAGGCCTCCTCCTGCTGAAAAGTCTGTTGTCTCAATCCACACTCTAGTCAGTTGGCCAGATTGTTTTTGAGTAGCATAATTTGGTGAAATGACTTGGTCTGTTGCATGCATAGCTGTGAAGTAACTTTAGCTGCATAATGTCTTCATGCATGCATTTTGTTCTTAAAAATTTGCTTTTCCAGGCGTTGGTGGTACACGCCTTTAATCCCAGCACTCGGGAGGCAGAGGCAGGCAGATCTCTGTGAGTTCGAGGCCAGCCTGGTCTCCAGAGCGAGTGCCAGGATAGGCTCCAAAGCTACACAGAGAAACCCTGTCTCGAAAAACCAAAAAAAAAAAAAAAAAAAAAATTGCTTTTAGGAGAAAACACATTCTGAAAGGTAAAGAAAGGAGAGATAACTGTCAAGACATTTCAGTTTTTCCTCTCTTCTAATTCTTTGGAGGCTTTTATTCCAGAAGTTCTGAAATAGACTCTGTAAAACCAGCTCAGGAGTCATTACTCACAGAAACAGAGGGATGAACTGCTCACTCCCACAGTGGGAATCACACAACTATTTCCTAGGAGACTGAGGCCGTGTTTTGAGTCACAAACAACATGCTGCAGGGCGGGCAGTAGTGGTCTTTGACACATGCTTATTTGATGAGTAGGGTTATTTTGAAGATGTCATCAGACCAGCTGTAAATAAATAAGACATCTCAGCAACTTCGAGAGGTGCAGGAGTCGGGTAACACAGCATTGGACAGGTAGAGCACAGAGCTTAAAGAATGAGAAATAAGCCTACTGCACTGACTCAGTTAAGTTTACCTGACAGGGAACATTCTGCCATCCATTGTCTTCCAGATGAAAGAAGCCGATGAAAGCACAGGGTCTGGAGATGCGCCAGTGAAGTCATTACGCAAAAGGAGGGTACGGAAGGACTGAAGTGTGACAAGTATTTATTGCAAATCCCCGAGAGAAAGAGACCTGGCACTCTAAGTTAGTGTGCTCAGAAGGACAGTGACTCCATCTGCACAAAGTCTTTCTAAATATCTAGCAATGTTACTCTTTCAGATACTTCTTTCTTTCTTTCTTTAGGTGGGGGGGAAAGTAACTTTGAAATTAACTGGTCTTTGAATTTAGAATAAAAAGAAAGTGGCACATTACATGAGATCCAAGAGATTAATATCCTTACAGTTTTAATATTTGGAAGATAGTTTTGGTTTTGTAGAGCAAAATAACATGTAGTCATCACACCTGCTATTGGAAAAATCAACTCTTGGACTTCCCACTTAAATGGATACAGGTTAGTTTTATAATAAAATTGGAGTCTGTTCTGTTGTACAGACTGAAGGTCACCAAGTTCGTGTGTGATCGTTTGATGCCATCAGCACTTTAGTGTTGTGTGTGACCCACACTTACTTGCCTGTGTTACACTATTAGGGTCACTGCACTTCGAGATTCCTTGAAGAGGTGCTGTGTTGACAGGCGTGTCAACTGTGTCACTCATGCAATCACTGGGTAATATTCACACATATTCTACATGTGAACACAAGATAATAGGCTTGTCAAAACCAAATAATGTATAGAATTTTTTTTCAAACTTTTGTAGCCACTTCATGCCCAAATGGCTTACCTCATTCATGAAACTGTGTGCACACACTGCTCTTGAAAATAAAATTTAAATATTTTTCTCATTTAATTTTTTTGTTTGTTCTTCAAGAAAGGGTTTCTCTCTGTAGCCCTGCTGTCCTGGAACTTGCTCTGTAGACCAGGGTGGTCTCAAACTCAGAGATCCTCCTGCCTCTGCCTCCTGAGTGCTGGGATTAAAGGCATGAGCCACAACTGCCCGACACTATTTTTCTCATTTAAATTATATCCTCTATAGGGATCATTTCTGGGGAGACATCATATTAATGGTTAAATTCAATTCTTCAACTCTTGTCTTTTCACCATGATTTTCTGCTAACGAGGTCACATGTATTCTGAGTCTGTTGTCACCCTCACAGTTACATCTGGAGTGCCTAAACAAGCTACCTTTTCAGCAGTGTTGTTCCACTTAAAATGTTTTATTGAAGAACATTTTACACCTAAGTGACATGTGTCAACCCTTTGAAAAGCCATTCACATCTGTCTACATGAAGACTAGAGTAATACTGAGTCCCTGTGGAAATTTTTATGAGTTGGAGTTTGTTTTGTGGACTTGCACATGCCACCTTTCACCAGCTCCCTTGCATAGGTGTGCGCAGAACTCACACTAGAAATACACCCTAGCGTCACCTCCCTAAGGGAGACTGAGCAGAGCCAGTGAGATTGTTTGCATCTTTCAGAGTGTTGTGAAAGTGGAGTGATTGTTTTAACCATGGCCATGCTCACGTTCATAAACTCTTGGTGGATTTTTAACATGTGTGAAGGTTAACATGTGTGGATTTTTAACATGTGTCCATGGAGACCCAAAGAGGGCATTGGATGCCCTGGAACTTGAGTTACAGGAGGTGGTGAGCATCCATGTTGGTCCTGGGAACTGAACTTGGATCCTCTGCAAGAGCAGCTCATGCTCTTAATGGCTGAGCCAGCTCTCCAGCCTCTGCTTCCTTTCCATGAAAATATTCTTCAGTGAGTCTCACTTCCATCGGCCATTTCTCTAGGATGACATCAGTGTCGGTTAGGATTAGTGTCAGTCTCCATTTGGAGGAACAGAAAGGGAAGGGCTAGTGTGATGAACCACTGCAATGGATTCAGTATCCCAAAATCTAGAATTCTCAAAATTGTTTCATTGGGCCAAGGAGATGGTTCAGTGGGTAAAAGTCCAATCCAAGGATCTAAAGGTGAAAGAAGGAGGAGAGATCCGAGTTCCAAAGTTGTCTTCTGAAGAGGACAGGAGCATGCATGCTCATGACTGTGTGTGCATGCGTGCACGCATGTAATAAGATTGTGTATGAAGTAGAAACTTCACAACAGTCGATATATTGCTCACACTCTGGACACCCACCTGTGAGGCTCTCTTTTAGATTTTGTCTGTTTTACATTTAGCAAGATGAAAAGATGAGGTATCAGGTGACTTAGACAATTTCTTAAATCTGTTATGTAAATAATTTGTATAAAACATATTTCAAACAATCCAGTCATTTATTCCCAAAACATATAGGCATATAGGTCCCATACTTTCCTATGGTATGAGGAGATTAAGAAATGAAGCTGTCTTCATTTTTTTCTACTGCTGTGATAAGACCTGACCAATGAAACTTATAAAAAATTTAATTTGGAAGCCAGGCGTTGGTGGCGCACGCCTTTAGTCCCAGCACTCGGGAGGCAGAGGCAGGTGGATCTCTGTGAGTTCGAGGCCAGCCTGGTCTACAGAGCAAGTTCCAAGACAACCTCCAAAGCAATACAGAGAAACCCTGTCTTGGAAAAAAAAATTAATTTCGGCTTAGGGTTTCAGAGGGTCACAATCCATGATGACAAAGCAAAGGCATGCCAGCAGCTGCAAACTTACATCCTGATTGCAAGTAGGAGGCAGAGGATACACGGTTTTCTATTGCTGTGATGAAACACCATGACCCCAATAAAAAAGCAAGTTCAGGAGGAAAGGGTTTATTAGGCTGACACTTCAGCATTGCTGTCCATCATGGAAGGAAGTCAGGACAGGAACTCAAACAGGGCAGGATCCTGGAAACAGGAGCTGATGCAGAGGCCATGGAGGGGTGCTGCTTCGTACTGGCTTGCTTCCCAGGGCTTGCTCAGCGCACCTTCCTATGGAGCCCAGGATCAGCAGCCCAGGGATAGAGACCAATGGGAGGACCCCCGCCCCATTGGTCTCTAATTAAGAAAATGCCTTACAGCTGGATCTCACTGAGGCATTTCCTCAATGGAGGCTCCTTCCTCTGATGACTTTAGCTTGTGTCAAGTTGACACACAAAACCAAGCAATGAAGCACAGCTTTTGAAATCTAAAGGCCCATTTCCCAGTGATGCAACCTTCTCTAACAAGGTCACACCTCCTAATCCTTCCCAAACAGTTCCACCATCTGAAGACCAAGTATTCCAATATGAATGTTTACGGGGGCCATTCCCATTAAACCATCATGGAAACCACCTCCTTTTGACAGGTTAGATGAGGGAAGCAGATAGGAGAAAACATGAACTTGGAAACATATTTGAAGACTTTATTTTTTAATTATGTGTATGTCTGCATGAGGTAATGTGTACCTGAGAACTCCCTGGAGCTGTGGCTACAGGAGGTTGTGAGATCCCATGCAAGTGCTTCGAACTTTGCAAGGATGGCGTGAGCCTCTCATCCTTCTCTCCATCCCCTTTGGAAACATTTAGTCTGTCTCTAAGACCCCAGTGCACAGAACAGCAAGAGCCATCTTGGAGATGGCACTAAGACAACTAGAAAACCATCTTTGCATGCCCGCCACAGTCTCTTATATATATGTTTTGTTAAAACTTAAGGTTATTTTCAAGTTTTTCGTTTTATATTTCTATTATTTTAAAAACAATCTTATTTTACATACCAATCCCAGTTCCCTCTCCTTCATGTCCTCTCACTCCCCATACCATCTCCCCACCACCCCCATCCACTCCTTAGAGAGAGGAGTGATGAGGAAAAACCGTGGTCAGACTATATTGTATGGGTTTTCAATCTAAAAGATACAAAAAAAAAAAATAGAAAGAAAAAAGAAAAAGTATTTCTCGGGTACTTGTTGCACCAAAGAGACAGGACCTGCAACCTGTGACTCCACTCTGGTCACAGTATTCCCAGAACTATCTTCTTTGCATTTCAGTTGGTCCCAAGGTAGTCTCCTCTGTTAGGAAGCCCAGTCCTAGGGAAAAAGCTGAAGTCAAGGCTGAAGAGAGCTTGACTATCGCTGACACAAACCAAGAACACAAAGACAAAAGGCTTCAAGATGGCTCCAGCTTGGGTACAGCCTGACCCCCTGAGCCTGGTCCTCAGAACCCACAAGGAGGAAGGAGAAGACTGACTGCTGCAGGGCGTCCTCTGACTTCTGTGCAGTCAAACAAATGGAATAAATGTGAACTAAGTAAAACGAGTCAAGGTTTTTTGTTTGAGGAAGTTATTTGCCCAGCAGTGGTGGTGCACACCTTTAATCCCAGCACTCGGGAGGCAGAAGCTGGTGGATCTCTGAGTTTCAGGACAGCCAGGGCTACACAGAGAAACCCTGTCTCAAAAACAAAACAAACAAAAAAAGTTATACTAGCAAAATAAAAAGAAAACAAAACTTAAGCTTGACTTAAAATAATGGGCCCCAAACTCCTGCCAACCAGTGAACTGTTTTCATAGCCTGAGGGGTGGAGGTGGGGTGGATATGGAATAACTTCCAAGCGGGGGGAGCACAGGAGTTGGAAAAAAAAAAAAAAAAAAGGAAAACCTTGCTCAGTCAGGGTCTACAGCCAGGGACTTGTCTCCAAGTAGCATTCCACAATTGCCTCAAATCTGAGGATTTATTTCTACTCTACTTTCCATATTGAGAACTTTTCCTTGGCCATCCTGTCCCATAATACTCTAGACCAGGGAAGAATGAGAACAGATAAACTGAATGACCTCAAGACCATGGTTTTTCCTCCCCCCACCTCTCAGGCCCTCTACCTCCCTACCCAGCCAATTTCACACCTTCTTTCTCTCTCTTTAGAAAACATTTTCAAAATAGGCAAATAAACAAACCAGAATAGTGAAACAGCAAAAAGGATAAGCATGAATAATTTTGGAGAGCTGAGTGTGGAGCCCTAGTATCCACACAAAAGCTGGGCATGATCACGCATGTCTGTAACCCTAGTCTTGCGGGTGGGGGACTGAGGGCAGAGACTGGATCCCTGCAGCGCTCAGGCCAGATAGTCTATTCTAGTCAACAGATAGGTTGCTAGTATAACTTTTTTTGTTTGTTTTGTTTTTGAGACAGGGTTTCTCTGTGTAGCCCTGGCTGTCCTGAAACTTGGATTTTGAGCTTGATGTTCAACTGGATGGGGGGTGGGGGTTGCAATGCATACCAGACACTTCCTAGTAAAAGATCAAGCTGTGTCTGGGGCATTAGTGACACGGCCTTCACCTCCTTCCACAGGGATAAGCTGTAGCCACATGCGGCCTCCCAGGCAAGACATCACATTTATCAGCCATCCTAGGCTTCGGATGTAAAGAGGCCTGGGCCATAACACCTAGACTCTGTGCTAGTCTAGTCACTTTCCTGCAAACAGAATAGTGTCACTGGTGATGCAGAAGCCTTAGCTGAAAATGATAAAGCAATCTATGCATTAGAGCCCACTAGTCTGGGAACAATAGAGGGTCAGGAGCCTGACCCAAACACAGTCCCTTCCCTGGATTCTAACCAGATGGGTAAGCTCCTGCAACACTGTGTTAATAAAAGGTTCCTACTGTAGCAGTCTTGGATACATAAATAAAATACACAATACACTGTGACACTGCAAACACTGGATACCCAAACTGAACATTTACTTAGCAACTGTATCAAAAGACACACAATCTCTGAAACAGCTTTTTATTAAACAGCAAAGCAGAACACAATTTAATATTTGTAACGCAGTCACAAAAGGGTTTGCAAAATATCTGCAATGTGAGGATTACGCGTCCATGTAGCTAATGTCACTAATACATTAGATGATCCCACAAGTCAACA